TATATATATACATATATATATATATATATATATAAAATATATATAAATATATGAGTAATCTAAAAAAAAACCCAAAAAACAAGGACTACGTTAATATTGGTAGTCATTACAGCACATCACAATAAATAAACCATCAATCAATCCATCAATCAGAACTTGCATCACTGCAGAGAGCAGCAGAATTCCACATTTAGTAAACAGTTCCACTTAAAATTAAAGAATGGTTTTTAGGTAATTAGACAAGATACATACCGGGCCTGGATCTGCTGTTCCAAGTTATGAGACATTCTCATTCCCAGTTGATCCAACTGATCCCACTGCTGGGCAAGACCAACGGTGGAGTGTTCCGTGTAACTGGTGGGAAGATGATAAAGAAAAGCATTCAGTCAGATTGAGATACTTACTGTATGCAATATCAGCTTTTCATTAATTTACAAAGTTTGTATTAAAAGAATTTGATTTTTAAGATAATAATATTATAATTGGCAAGTATAAGGATTGTGGATGGAATGTATCTTGCTTTTGGTGCAAAACACTACAATACAGTATTTATATTTACAATTTTGTGAAATAACCATGTGAATTGTATTGTACTTAGTCTACAATTTTTTATCGTAACAAGCGAGGGATTATAAATTAATCTTACCGATTATCTAGGATAAGCCGCTTCTCTAGTTTAGCTCCTAGGTCCTCAATTTTCTTCAGCTGACTCTTCTGGTTGCGAACCTCAGTAAGTTTTTGCTACAAAATTCCAACAAGATAAAACTTATTTTTTCCCTTCCTTTAAAACACACTGAAGATGTATACTCAAGAATTGACAGCAATGATAGCATAATATTAACAAATGTATAATAATACTAAAAAAATATTAATGTGGTAATATAAGCAAGGAAAAGAACAAATAAGAAATGATTTAGTTAAATCTTCCCTTGCTCTTTCATTATTTACCATGAATTTTAAAAAAATCGAATGAAATAACAAAAAATATGTTAATTACCTTCAAAGCTTCTAGCTGAATCTCCAATGTTCCAGACTCTTCAACCATAGCAACCCTATACAATTCAAACAATTATGCAAATGAGTTATGAATATTTATATTTAGCAAACTAAATAAATTCAATCTTATATAACACTCAATAAAGCATTTTACTAGATTTCACATGCTTGTATGATTGTTTAGCTGGTTAAAATGGAAATGTGAAATATTACGGATAATGAATACATCCTGTTCATACAATGTATTTATAAGATGTAATTGTGCGAATAAAACATGATGTCTGTATATTTAGAATATATAATTAAAATCTACAGTTAGGTTAACAATAAAATATATCTATGTTATGAGTAACAACTTTATATTGTGACATCTTTATCTGAGGTAAACATGTACAATTAGGAAAATTAATTATTCACAACATCACACGTGATGTTATTAGCCAAAATTTGTTAAGCATTGGCATCAAAGCATAGAAGTTGGCATGCTATTAACTACTACAGAAATTATTAATTAGGTTTGGTTGACACAAATTCCTGGTAGAAATTTTTTTTTGTTTTCCAACAGTGTAAGCAGCATAAGTCATGCAATCTTGGATCTAAGCATGAAATCAACGATTTAAGTCTTGTTTTAAAAAACAGAGTTTCAGAAAGTAATTAAAGAATGTCTGCAACAAATTCCTTCACCAATTCAACCAAATAATGATGTCTGACTACTTCTGGTTATTCCTTCATAACCAACACTTCCTCCCTATTTTTTGTATTTTCTTTTCAATAAATCAATAGATTATGACTACAGTAAAACCATTATAAGATGAATAAATAACTAATGTGTTTTAAACAAATTATTTGATTGGAAGAGAAATTATTTGATTGGAAGAGTATTGCACTATCAACTACACTCGCCAGTAATCGAAAGCTACATGCAAATTAATTCAAATGGATTTACTCCTTTATAATGTCTGCAAATTTCAGTAGCAATGTTTAAAAATGACTGACTGCCATTGTGAGAAGTAACAATCACATCACTATCGAACATTACTTTTACTTTCTACCTTTTTCTACTACAATATCCCTTCCTATACACGTAAATATAAAAGCCTAATTTCAACATAGAGTTCCTAATACCAATGGGAGATGTTCAACAGTACATAATATTAATAACTTATTAGAAGTGATTAATACATTGTTATGTTAAATACAGTATATACTGCTACAGTTATTATATGTTAAGAGTTATTTTCTTAAATTAATATGTCCTATAATGTTACATCTAATATGCCTTTGGCCATAAATACTAAAAATTATTTAAAAAAAAAAAAAACCAGTGGTACTGTGTGATAGGGGGACAAAGCTGTCACATGATAAATACTGTACATGTTATAGAATAAACAGTATAATCTGCATCAACAAACACTTTAAGCATGTACTTAATTGAGCAACATTAAAATCTATTTACGTGATCTTACTAAACCAGCAAATTACATTAACGATTTAGGATACAGATTAATAACAAAAAATAATAATAATTTATTGGTTTGGTTAAATACATTTAGTTTAACAAATTTAGTAACTTGATCCAACCTACCACAAAATAAGTAAATAAAAAAAAATAAAATATTTATATATAATGAGGACAAATGTTTTTGAAATGGGTTGCTCACTGCGCCCTGTATTGGTCTGTTCTATTTTTAAGTCAATTCATCCAGGTAAGTAGTCACAAAATAGAAAAACACATATATTTATACATTTTTAATTTTAAAAAAATGATTGTATTGTAGTATTAAAGAATTTCCAAGTTACGATATTTATGTGCCATTGATGCAGGTGAACCAAGTATTTTTGTCAAAAATTTAACTACAAATCAACGCTTAATGACACTGTTGACCTTCAATGTGGTAAAGATGAATGGAGTTTATTAGTACATAAAATAAAAATTATTATCTATAACTAAATAATGATCTCTGAAATAACATTATGTCTTAACATAAATTAGTTAATTATTACGCAGTTAGCACTTAAACTTCATATTTACGTTAGCCTAGAAATATCAAGATGTTAATTCTTTGAAACATGCAGTACTACGATTTTTTTATCCCGTGCAAAAGGCGAATAAAAACTGTAATAATAACCCTCCAGCTACGAAGGCTCTGAAACGATGAACCACAGACGACATGAGTGTAGGTGTGGCATCAACCGACCAGTAGCAACAGGAACACACGCAAAGAAAACAGTAAATACAGGGAAAGAAACAGAAGAAGTAAAAGAAATATAAAATAATGAAAATTGAAAATATAAAAGAAATATCACTAAATGATGGTAAATTTAAAAAAAATATAAAAATATAAAAAGGCCTAAAATTAAGATTTTTTTTTTCTCATTAGAATTTAGTTAAGTAAATTGAATAAAAATAATACCTGCAGATTATAAAGTATCTGAATAGAATATTTGAAAGAATAATTGGAGTGAAATATATTATTGAAATGAAATGTATCTGACACAATTTTGTTGACTACCTAATCACCATACCAAGAGGTTTAATATGGTGCGTTGGAAAGAAGATCCAAATCAAGCAGTACTGAAATCTTATTACATGATTCTTGTATATTCAAAGAGACCCTGAATATCAGCTTCTAGTGGATAAATGGTTTGCATACCTGGTCTCGGTGAGCCATTGATGGAAAGTGTTGGCCAGCTGGGCAAACTGTTTACGCAGTTTGTCATTCTCCTCTTGTCTGATGAGCTCCTTGTTCAAATCCACCTCACGCTCTTTGATGATCTTTTGCAGGTTACGCCAGGTGTCTTCCAGGGCTTCCATGGTAAACCAGGTGTATCTAAAGAGAAATCACAGGTGTACTTAATGGTCAAGCCAGTTCAAAAGGTCAAAGTCCGCATTTTAAAGAAAATAGTATGGTTGGATTTATTCGGTTTAAACACCAAGGATAACCCAAGAAAGCCTGAAGAAGACTTATTTCCAGTGAGTTCCTTCAAGTGGTGATTGGGTAGTACACCAGGAGACAATCTCCTACTCTTTAGAGTGTACTGCATTCTTTAACATGCACATGGGCCTTAATTCACACAGGATTAAATGTCTCATCCAAAAAACAGTGCATTACTTGTATTTCAACCCTCTGTTTGAAATACAATGAGAGCAGCAATGGGAATTGAAGCAGGGACCAAGAGATCTCCACGATTCAGCATACACACAGTGGCTACCACCAGTTTAGCTGACTGAGTTAACCTGCTTTATCCAGTGGAATCACATTGACTTGCAGCATTTATAATAATCTACTGAATTATTTATAGTAAATTCATTTTTTTTCCAGGAAAGCATTAGTCAATTTCTATTATTAATGTATTTGCTGGCAGTTGTATGGTGTTAATTGAATAAACTTACGGGTTAGTTGTTACATGGAAACTTTTGATTTGCTTGTCAAGTGCTGCTAGCTGCTTGAGATCTGTTTGGGCACTGTTCAGGGAAGTGGTAAAAGCATCATGGGCCTCCTTCAAAGCCTGTTAAAAAAGATATCATTCAAAATAAATATCATGAGTAAATTTCCTGTACGAATACTATCGAAATGGTACTGGGCTTGGTCTACAAGAGTTTGTGCTTTTATCATGTCATTCCCTAAAATATATATTTAATAGCTTTTATAATTTACTAACAATTGTTAAATAATATGATGATAATTGTACTGATAACAACAATTAATATGATAATAATATGACAATGGTTGCAATGAAAAAAACATTGTATAAAATGTTTAGTTGTTGTTGGTGACAATGACAAAGATGACGGTGGTGGTGATGACGAGAATGTTGATGATGTAAAGAGGATGGTGTACCACCAATGCATTTGCTTACCTTTATCTCTTCAACTGAGTTACATGTCACAGGGTCTGTAAGATCTTCCTCAGCATTCTCAAACCAGCTGTTGAAGGCAGAGGCTTTCTTTGCAAACAGCAGGAATAGATCTTCAACCTACGAAATCCACAACAAATTGGTGTTTAAAAAAAAATGTGAATGTACAATAATATTCAACAATTTGTCATGCCTGAAAATAGCACACAATACAGTAGGAGAGAGCCCTCTGGAATATGATACTGAAGGAACAATAGAAGAGAGAGCCCTCTGATATATGATACTGAAGGAAAAATAGAAGGTTCAACAGAAAGCAATGAGTGAGAGATACAGTTAAGTATCATGCTGAAAGAGAAGTCATAGTAGTTTAGTTTAATAGAAATTGATCTATCAAATTTGCAATAAGGTTTAATCGAGATCAAATAATTTGTTTCAGTCGATTGTATTTCTGTATAAATATATAACCTTTAACCTTTAAAACATTTCTATAAAATAAGTTGTGACAATCTTATAGCTTTTTAAATTTGTCAGAAAAGTCAGAAACATGTTAACTTGTTTGGTACATGAGATGTTCAAAACAGCAAAAAGTTTTCTTTTAAAATAATTCACTAAATTTCTTGTATTACTGACAAATGTGTACAAGATTTTTTGCATAACTCCTCAATTTAGGTATTAAACATAAATTTCTAAAAGTTTGATTGGTATGAATGAGAGAACAGTGAATTTGGAGTAAATGAATACTGAATACGTAGAAATAGCGGTAGATGAAGAGACACTCTTGCACACAGAATAGCTGTAAAAAGTACAATTGTTAACTGATACAAATGTTTAAAAAATAGCAAAAAATCACTGAACAAAGATCAATAAACTATAAGAGAAATTTAACAGTAACTGAGGCTGGAAAACATGTTTACTTCTATCAAAACTTGCAATTATTTCCACAAAAAGATGTAAAAATACAAACTAATCAGTGGAGAATCAAGCTCAAATAATTAAACATCTTATACTGTACTTTGAATAGGATTATAGAAAAAGTCAACAATAGTTAATAAAATATGCTGAAGTCATTACAAGTCTGGAAGATGGTCAGGTGTACATAAAAAATACAGAGTTAAGTTGTACAGTGACCTACAATGTTCAGAGAATCAGAATTAATAGAATGCTAAAGCAAAGCAAGAATGTGTCGAGATCAACAGGATCTATGGCTAGAGAAGAGAAAGAGAAGCAATTAATTATCACACTACAGCATCCAAACACAGCTGTAATGAAACAGAGTAACTGCTGACCAAACTCAAATATAAATCTGGCAAAAAGTGTAAAGCCTGATTTAAATATTTAAAAATTGGCATACACTATTTTCAACAACTTTCAGTGACGCTAATTGGTCAGTTGAATTGGGGAGGCCAGACAGCTATGCAGCGTGAAGTTTGGTCTGAAAATGATGTAGCAACAGTGTATTTACTTTAAACTAGGCTTAACTTATCATCAACGACTAGAGAAGAAAAAGAGTGTAGTAGCTACAAAATACATTAATTAAAAAGCAGTTCTAGAAGAAAGAAGATATAGTTAGTTTAAAAAGCATAGCATAATGTCTCTCGCCTAAATGATCACTGATAGTTGGATAAAAGCAATGCAGATTTTGCTTTAAAAAGCAAGATATGTTACTGGAAATCAGTATCTTAATAGAATTAAAAGATGTTACAGAAAATATTTGGCACCAATAAAAATCACTAATAATGTTGTTAGAATGAAAGATAATTGGGAAAAAGATATATAAAATGTCTGGCTTAATAAATGGTTTTAAAAATGCTCAAAAAAGTTAGTAATACGTAAAGCTAAGGTTTAAGATTAATAGTTCAAAAATACTTAAAACATAAATTAAAAAATATACAATATTTACTTATACAGATCAACCACAGATTCACTAAATAAATGAGTAAATGCAAGCAAATAGTACAGTAGTTGCATTATAGGCTTAATAAATGGTTTTAAAAATGCTCAAAAAAGTTAGTAATACGTAAAGCTAAGCTTTAAGATTAATAGTTCAAAAATACTTAAAACATAAATTAAAAAATATACAATATTTACTTATACAGATCAACCACATATTCACTAAATAAATGAGTAAATGCAAGCAAATAGTACAGTAGTTGCATTATAGGAAACTAGAAAGAAGCTTAAAGTTACATTGCAACTTATTTAATCTCCAGCCATAATACCAGTTTACTAAAAAACCACAAAGTTGTCAGAAGTTAATTACTACACCAAGGAATCACAACATTGAAAATTTATTACAATAGTTAGGCTAAGACAGGGTTTGTCATCATTCTTGATTAACACCATTCGTTAAAACTTTTACTTATTAGTACTTGTTAAGGTAACAAAAAGGAATTGCTAAGGATAGCATTGTTAAAAGCTTAAAAAGCAGACCATCTTTCATATATTAAACAATGCAAACTACATTTTTAGAAAATTAATATAGTTAATAAAAAAATTCTTGAAAATCCAAATAAGAATTAATGCCAGTATGTAATTTATATTTTTGAATAATTTCTTTAATAATTTAATGATATAATTTAATTAATAACTCATTGTATTATTTAGAAAAAAACACAATTCATTTCTAAATTTCAAAATTGTATATAAAAATGATTATATCTCCCCATTTTTTTGTGATTGTATATATATTATGGTAGTTGCAATTTATGTTAACCTATAAAATATGGCTGTACAGAAACATTAGCATTGCTAATTCACAAAGTTGGCACAATAATGCACGTTTACTCAATTCCATTCATATTTCATCTTACGGGGAAATTTGATTTGGCAATTGAGAAAAACACAGACGACATGAACTTGTTATCCTGTTCATTTTTGGGTTTAAAGATCTGAACAAAAATTGTGATGTTTGAAAAAAAGAGAAAAAAAAGTGTAAGATTGAATTTTCTAAATATCACTCACAACACAAATCTAACATTAACAAGTTATATCAATGAATAATTCATAAGATTATTAAGCGTTTATGATCTGATTTAAACCAATGGCGCAAGTGCAAATATATAAATTTCAAATACCGTACTTCCTTGTTTATCTTCACCAGAATTTTTAATTAGTTAGCTTATGCTAGTCAAACCAATGTGACAAACAGTTCAGGGAGTAATTTGGATTTTTGTCAGTTCAATAAAAATACACAAATCAGCATTCATTATTCATGCTGTGGGGGGGGGGGGATGATTCCATTATTTCTTCAAGGTAAATCCCACAAAGGAAACTTGGTATATATTGGCTCATCCAAGTAAGAATTTACAAAATGTAAAAATATATGGATTGAAACATTTCTAACTAAGCTATTAATGCATTTTAGATCTACAAATTTGCTTGGTAAATAAACATCATGGTGAATATATGTGGTATACCCGTCTGAATTGTTCCCCCTGATAATAAAAAGAGCTTTCGGTTTGAAACGACAAATAGCTGTGAGCCAATCATCTCTGCAGGTTTTTTTTTTTGACATTAGCATTGAGTGATGATTTTCTGGGCTACATTAAAACCAAGGAACTACGGTAACCATAACTTTATAACAATAACCACAGATATATTTTATATATAACAAGTGCACTGAAAACTAATCATGTGATCAAAAGGTAAATTAGAATAAATCAGTTGATTAGCATAAACACCTGCATTTTCAAACTGCAATAACTGCAAGAAACTATTGAGATATAGATTTTCATTCAAGGAGAATCTAACCATTTTGCTGTGATAAAATGAGGAAGTTGCAATTACATGATGAAGATTCTAAAAAAGGCATTTCTAAACTAATCTAAATTTTAAAGGATTCATTCACAGATATCAACATTTTTCATAAGTGTACAAAGTGCCGTTGGTAATTTTTTATCCTATAGATTCATTTTTGTTATCAACATTTTAAGATGGAGAGTAAGGTTCTATTCATACTGCTATCCAGATAAATAATTAATCAATTTCACTTCCTTCCAAGGAGTAAACAGATTAAATCTTCTGTCAGCAAATCTGCATATTTATTCTTGCGAAAATTGTTGATAATTGTTTAATGAGCCTCAAGTGCATATACGTTAAGATGGTAAGTGAAAAGAGAAGTCTTGAAATTTCATACAAAAACATTTTCATTCGAATACTATATCAAATCTTAATAACATCATTATTTATAATTGTAAACCTCAATAGTTTTAAAATAAAATGTGCCATGTTAATGAAATTAATGCTCACCTCACGGTACTGCTCCTGCGCCCGCAGTAATCTTTGGCGACGAGCCTTCGAATCAGACAACAGTTTCTCCCATCTATTTAAAAACATTCAAATTAATAGCTAGACTAACTGCATGTTTTCATGTCTATGTCAATGTATTACTATTATTATTGTATATTTATAGTACTTTTCTAAAACTCGTAAAATACGTTTATTATTCAGAACATAAGGAGATATAAACAAATTATTGTTAAATTACAATGTGTGGTGGTCTCAGAGAGTCAACCATCCATCACTGCCCCGGTGCAATCCCAGACCTCTACCTAGGTGGCGCGAATTTACACTGGCTTATACTATATATATATATGTCAAATTTGTTCAATCTTTATGGTTTTTTGTTTTGTTTTTTTGTCTCAATAATCATTAATATAAAATATTATTTACACATTTCAAAGTAAAGAAAAAAAAGAACAGCAAGTTCAACTAACATGAGAATCAAGTTGGCATGTCTGCGTTGGATGGCAGGGGTCTGAGCGTGCTCGGCTTCCACCAGCTGATCCTTCAGTAATGTGATAGTGGTGATGCCCTCTTTCTCAAAGGCATGTAGACCAACATCAAAGGTCTCTTGCTTAGTCAGCAACGTCTGGACAGATGACAGGTCACGGCCATAGTCATCTGAGTTGGCCATGCTCTCCTTGTCCGCTAGAAATTTACAAGGAAAATTGTTGATTTTTTACCAAAAAATACATTTAAAAATCTCTAAATGCTGCAATCTGACGAAACAAATATGTTTATGTTAATAATATTCATTTTTTAGCATGTGTGCGTCTATAACAAGAGGATTACAGAGAGCATATTATCTTACCAATCCAGGATTCGACCACATCGGCCTTCCAGTAGAACTGCAAGAAAGCTGAATTGTCATCCAGACGGGAGCGACGGAGCAGAGCTGCTTGTTCTAAGGCTGCTAGCTTAGCATTCAGTGATTCGGTACGCTGACCAATAGCTTCAGAGTTGAAGTTCTCCTGTTAAAGACAAAAGGATTAAGATGAGTAAAGTATAGACATGATTAAAGCAATCTTGTCTAAATTTAAAGTTCTGATACAATTATAAATAATCCAAAAATTATATATAAAGAAAGCTTACCACTTTGATAAGTTCTTCTCCAACATTCTGAATATCTGCAACTCTTTCACGATGAACACCAAGATCAGTTTCAAAAGCTTTGTACTTCTTCAGTAATCCCTAAAAAAAAAAGCAAACATAAATGAGAAAAAAAAGTGAAAAAAAATTTAAAATATTGCAATGCAATAAGGCATATCAAGTTATATGTTCCCAAAGAACTACAAGGTGTGAAAGCCTAAGATCATTAGGCTGTTGAAATCTGTTGGAACCAGAATCAGTCAAGCCTACCAAAACTAGCTTCTGAAGCTAGGTCTATTTGACACAACTTTCACTTTTTAAAATAAGTACATATTCTGAATTCTAGCAACTAGCTTGTGGATGCTAGGCCTCATTATTAAGTATTCCTTCAAAGAAATCTAAAGACAGCACACCTGTACTGCTGCCAGAGTGTCTCCATAATCATCACTGTTCATCAAACTCTGCTTCTCGTTCACCCAGGCCTCTTCCTCCTCTACATTTGCGCAGAAGTTCTGGAAGGCCAGAGAATCTTCCAGGTAGTGTTCACGATTAGAGGCAAGAGTTCTGAGCTCTGTCCAGTTGACATCAAGTTGATCCAGCCGCTGCTGGACTTGTTCAGGTGCCACACTGAGTTCCTGCAAGAGGAGGTTCCCAGAGTCTGCAACAGCCTTAAAAAAAAGATTAAATAAAATAAAGTATAATATATACCTTTGAACATGAAGTATTTTCTTTAATTTTTCTATTATCCCTGGCATTAATAATATTTCATATACCAAAAATAACATGCTTGTACATGAAATTTTATACTACATTCCTGTTTCATTACATAATGTATGCTTATATCATCATATTTAAAAAGTAGGTTAAGGGCAGTGATTTTTAAAATAAACATCATCACTAGCATTACTAATAATATAACATTAACCACATTATCATTATTTGTTTTTCATTTCAATATTAAGGAGTAGCAGTGTTCTTTAAATATAAAGGTGCAGACAGACTGGCAAGCAAATATGAGGCATTGTTTCCAAAATCAGGGAAGTATGTAACTTCACTTGATGAAAAAAAACAACACATCATATATATACTTGTCGATTTACAAATATAAACCCTTACGATTAACGTACCTTTATTGAGGGCTCGTGGCTGTTTATCTCAGCCACCAAGCGTTTGTGCTTTTTACGCAAGTTCTGCACACCTGTCAAATCACGGCCGTAATCATCAGAGCTTGTCAGAAGTTTCTTCTCCCTAGAGAGAGGAAGAGGAAAAATATTAAAAATATATAACATAAAATATTAAACAATCAAGAACAAAGGGTATTTCTACATTTCAATATTTTCAGAAGAGTACAAAAAAACTCTTTTTGGTGGACCCTCCCTATACCCATCAAAAGATATATAAGAAAATGATGATTGTTGTATGATATTTTGCAAAATACTAGAGAATATTTGATTTTGCATTACGTTTATTGGTTAAGAAACGGGAAGAACACTCACTTGATCCATGATTCTTCATCGTCAATGTCACGGTAAAATTGTTGTACTCTGTGAGACTCGTTGAGTTTGATACGGCGCTCGCCAGACAAAATTTTCACACTGAGAAGTTAAAATAATTTTTAAAAATACATGTCAATTGCATGGACGAATCCACCAGCTAATGTTGAATTGTAATATATGCATATCTTGAATTAGTTATATTCATATATTATTACAAAATGTCAGTGTAAACTAATATCACCCATTGATTATCAGAAATGAAGTTAATAAAATAAAAAAGAATTCTAAGACTTACTTGTCATATCTATCATTGATACTGTCTCTCTTTTCTTTAATGGCATCAGAGTCGTAGTGTCCAGCATCTATAAAGGCATTAGCCTGGTCATTCAACTCCTTGATTCGTCCCTATATAGCAAGGAAAGTTAGATTAGTATAAATAATAATACTACTAAATAATGAAAAAGTCATTTTTGAGCCAAAGTGTAACTAATACTAATCTTTTCAATGGTAACACTTCTTTTACCTCATGTGCAGCAATGTCATCTTCCAGCAGTTGATGCTTCTGTAGAAGGTTCTGCACAGAGGCTAAGTCACGTCCAAAGTCTTCTGATGCGAGGGCAGTTTCACACTGAAAGATTTAATATAACAGAATATATCATAAAGGAAATATGGGTGTATGAAATGGAATAGTTATTGGTCTTTTACAATTCATGTACATCTCACAAATTTTTTTAAAACTATGGTCACCATATTATTGTTAGTCTTAAGTCTATTTATATTTATTTTAGCATAAGTCTTTTGTGAGTATAATGCATTTAACCTCATGAAGCACATAAACAGTGACTGATTTAGATGCAATGAAAATCTTTCGCATTTTGACAATCCAAATCTAAATTTAAATATAAAATAGATTTAAAAATTGTAGCTCCTTTCCTAACCCTCTCCCTCCCAAACAACCTTGATTTTTCTGTACCTATATTTCAATCTAAAATCAAATTCATATCAAAAAAGAATAAACTGAAACAAAGTTATGAATAAAATTTAAAGTACAAGACAAAAAATATTATATTGAAAGTTTACAAGATTGCTGTTCTTACATCAGTAAGCCAATATTCAATGTCCTTCACACTGATGTTAAAGTTCTGCTGGCGGTTGGCCTCCTTCAGTTTCAAGGTCTTTTGAGAGGACTTCTCTGTCAGGTAGACCCACTGGTCACCGAGGCTCTTGATACGAGCACTTACAGCTTCCTCTGTACCAGCACACTGGTTATCATCGATCAATCCTACACAGAGACAAAAGGAAGATGTTAGAGTTGGCACATACTTTAGACATCATAGTATCAGAGAAAGTCTTTAAAGAGTAATATTGTTTAAGACTTCCGAAATCTTTAGGGGAAAACTTGGAAACAATTTTTAACTTATAAAATATGATATCAGTGCCACTGGATGGATAACTCACTCTGTCCAGCTGCCATTACACCCTGGATTCTGTCGGCATTGGCAGCCAACTCTGCCTCAAATGCCTGATGCTTCTGGTGCTTGCTCTGAATGTTGCTGGGGTCCATGTACGACTCGTCACCGGCCACTTGGACCTTTTCAGCAATCCAGGCCTCGACTTCATCAGCATCTCTGCTGAACTGCTGCAGGGTCTGGGTCTCGCCTAGCTTAGAACGCTTCTCAACTAAAGCCTCCTTTAAATTCTGCCATCTAAAAAAGACATTAAATGTTAATTTTCATATGTTAATTAAAGTAACAGATTTTGCAATGAACAATGATGCTGCTAATTATAAACACATTTTACAATAACAATAATATAAAATATTAAAATTATTTTATAAATCACTTACCTCTCCAATACCTGATCTCGTTTCTCAGCAATGGCTGGTGCATCATAATGGTCTGCAGCAGTCAGTTGGTCAGCAAAAGATTTCAGTGCTGAGATCTTCTCCTCTTGTGCATTGATGGCCTTGTCAAAGTCTTCATGCTTCTTGATCAATGCTTCAACACCATCCAAGGATCCTCCAACCTCTTTGTTGGCAATGAAAGCCTCACGAGATGCCATCCATGCCTCGGCTTGTTCACAATCTCGGAGGAACAGTTGCAGCTCAAGGCATTGGTCAAGCTGAATGCGGCGCACTGTCCAAGCTCTGAAATATGTCATACAAATATTATTCTATTCCTAATAATCTTTATAACAGTTAATTGAAAAAAAAATTATTCTTAGTAACCACTTAAATATGTGATTAATAACATTCTTTATTATTTTAATGAAGTAATCACAAAAAATAATACGCCATAGAAAAAAGTATGTTGTATGCCAACTGCTCATAAAAATTATGAATATCTCATTTGCTTAACAGAAATTAATAAGTATTTACAGTTGGTTGTCCCTTAATAATGTTATGTTTTTCCATTTAATTTATTTTCTTATGTTTTGTTATTATAAAAATACTCACTTGTCAAGTTCTTCTCTCTCATGTTTCAGCATCTGCAACTTCTCCTCAATCTGTGGGCTAGCATAATGCTCATGCTGAAGGAGTTGCTCCCCAAAGGCCTCAAAGCCCTGGAAGGCTCCTGCCTTGGCCTCTATCTCGCATCTTAGATCCTGCAGACAAAGACAGAAATATATTACGTATAATACTTTAGAAAGTGTGACCTCGATACAGTATAAAGCAATGTATACCATATAAGGTCTATAATATACGTAAAAATTTTTAGGAATATAGTTTCCATGCTTGCTTCTGCAAAAGTATCAATCATCTAGAGTTAACATTGTCAATGCAAAAGCATTATTCATCAAGGCTTATCACTCCATTTTTCTACACCCACTGCTTTCTTACAAGAACATACACTTGCTCCTACATTATTCTCACTTTACCTTGGAGCAAAGATATTAGCATAATAGTAGCATGGTTTACCTGGTGTCTTTCAAGAAGTGCCTCTGCACCTGTAACATCCTTAGCCAGTTCATCCGATGACACAAGAACCATCATACCATTAACCCAAGACATGAGATCACGGAAGTCACTCAAGAAGCGCTGGAGATCGTAGGAATCCATCAGCTTATCCTTGCGAGCTTTGGCCTAAAGTGTGCAGAAAAGAGAAACATTATTATTTGAAAATTTCCTGAAAACAGAACAAAAAATAAATATATTTCTCATTGTTACTGGCAGAGTACACAATGGAAATAAGTAAAATTCAATATTACTTATAACTTATTAATTTCTGATGATATAAAAAAAACTTTACAAAAAAAATTTACAGAAACTACAATACAATACAATACATAAAAAAATTTAAAAAAATAAAATTTATTACATTTTTATACCAATATTACTGACATCCTTTAAACACAGCATTGTAAATAGAGGTCATGGATGAACTAAAGTAATCTTTCAAACTTACTCTCTCCTGTATTGCTTCCCAATCCTTGTTGATCTCGCTCTTCTTTTCATGGATTGCTTCAGCTGATTCTGGATGACTGTCCATCAGACGTTTGCCAGTCTCATCCAGGGATTGTACCTACAAATTTTAAAAAAATCATAATATAATGATTCATTACATAAAATTATGTAAAACACAATCAGAATCACAACTTAATAACATACAAAAATGTGTTACAGATAACACAACTGCGTAAAGTGTGTTAAAATGCATTAAGATTTTCATTAAGTACCACAGTTTCTAGTTGTTTGTAAACTAAAAACTGAACAAATTCAAATAGAATAACAATATTGCAATCACTTGAAAAAAAAAAAAATCAAAATTTATACAGTCATTGTATCAATCATTTTTTTCAGGTTGAAAAATATTATTGTATTATGCAAACAGTTACTTCAATCAAACTTAGCTATAGCTTATGTTAATCTTTTGGCAGTACACCAATGTAAGTAAATACAAAAACACTTAAATGTACTAGAGAAAAATAACACAGTAGAAAAAACAAAGTTTAAATGTACTACATTCCAAAAAAGTACTGCAAGAATTAAATAATATTCTTACTAAGAAACCACCATACAAAACCCTAGGTTGAAGTCTATCCCATCCTTAAAATCAACATCACAATATTATATACATCAACAGAAGGCATACTCCATAAATTAAATATATTAAAATGAATTTAAGGCTTTTAATCTATGGTGAGGCATACTTAAAAATAATGGAATAAGGATTGCTGAGATCATACATGCATTCACACATACCTCAGCATGGCATTGATCCATTGACGTGAATAAAATCTTTACTCGTACAGTATCTATCTGCAGCTACGTAATTGAGTATACACACATAAAATGGGTGACATGGAATAACAAAGGGGAAAACATGCATCCCCATGGCATTGCATCATGCAAATGAGTTCCAGATACAGCATGAGGCAGTGTTACTGTAGGTAAATAGATGCAACATGCGAGCTAGATTTCCAAGAAGTTTAACAAGTTAACTAAGGGAAAGGAGATCCACCCTGGAGAAACAAAATATCTGATTTGATTATATACTTGTTATAATTCTCCATTTGCAATTTTGAAACGCAACTGCCCTTGCAAACAAATGAGTTTAGATGAGACAGAATTTAGTTTAGAATATTTATAATAATTTTAGTGGGTATGGACATTTTGTGCCTGAACGAGAGTATGCATGCAATCAAATTTACAAAAAGCAGATGACATGCTTGTAAGCAAACAGCGTAGTGATGAACAAATCCCTTCATGAAGATAAACAGTTGTTCTATCTCCTTAACCAAGATACATATCAAAGTAGTCTATCTACATACAATTTAAGCCTATGAACCCAATAACTAAATAGTTTAAGCTAAATGACTATGCTAAATGCACTTTAATTCAGGGCATTGAATGCATGGTTTTGTAATCAATCTTACTAACCCACTACCTTATTGCACTGGGCTAAATGCTGTAAATCAATATATAGAATTTCTAGATCCTATTTATTCCCTTCTAACCCAGTAACTTAATGTAAAATCACATGCTAATTTTTCAATCATAGCATTTAATGGCCCAACACTTTCTTTAGGCTATCCTATGTTTTCATTGAGTTTACAAAATGCACTGGGCTGCAGTTAACCCAATAAATTATTGCTTGTTGTAAGCTAAATACTGATTTGGTCTGCATTACTTAAGCACTTAAGCCTGCCACCATTGCTACTTATTCTGGATGCTAAGTTTTCTGTCATCTATGCTAATTATTCCTGAAGCTAAAGGCTATAAACACTTTGAAATCCTGAATCACACTCTAAAAAGTTTATTTATCTTCAGTGCACTAATTTACAGCTTTGTAAACATCTGCAATATAAGTATTGATTCAATTACTTAATCAATATAAATATTTCATACATTCTCAGATTCTCAACAAATTATTTTTGTTGTGCTGTACTCATAACAAAAAGTTAGGTAATGGGTTACAATGTATCCCAAAATGCAGCAGTTTCCATTTTCAATGATTGCTGACAACCAATCACAATGCTTATTGTAATCATATTATAACTTATACCATACCAATGACATTCATTGTTTCTTAAAGCATACCTTTTACCTATCATACAGTAAGAATACTTTCCAATTGTTTTAAAAGTGGATGATAGGAAAATTGCCCACTAACATCATAAGATGAGCAAAGAAAGTTAATTTTCTATCAATTTTGCATTGATTAATTTTAATATACATCTGTTGGAGGTGTACCAAATTTATTAAGTGAATATTTATAAAACCAAATATGTCCCTAATGGTGTTAACAGTAATAATGGAAAAAATTGATACCAAATTGCTACATTTGAAACTGACACATGTCTCAGTTTAAAATAACAGCAATACTTTGTTGAAATGGATTCTCATGAATTGTTGGAAAATATATACTAGTAGTGCACAATACAAATATGCAAATAGTATAAAATGTACTTGAAAATTTATCATTTTAAAACAGTTATTCCTCCTCATTTGGTACACCTCCCCAGCCACTAGAAGCCCACCATGCAGCAGCTAGCCATTCATCTTACCTGCTTGCCCAGGGCATTCAGGTCACGCTCCAGGCCCTGGTGCTTGCGCTGTAGGGCCTGCACACTGTGCAAGTCTTGACCATAATTCTCTGTGTTCAGAGCATTGTTCTTGTCATTGATCCAGTCCTTGGTCTCATCAGCATCTCTGTATGAAAAAAAAATCATTAACAACATGTCATATCAAATCAAACAAACACATATCAAATCAAACAACAGACCTAGGGCACTATTATTTATGTATCTGGATGCCAGCTGTAATGATTACTTTTCTGCTACATACCTGAAAAATCTTTGCACCTCATGTGCACTTCCAAGAGTTTCACTTCTCTCGTTGGCCAATTGCTGGAGCTCATTCCATCTTTGGTTCAATTCCTACAAAAAAGCAAAACAACAAAAGTAAATTATCAATGCTATTTAAAATAGAATTCATGTTATTGAGGTGGAACGAATACAATAAGATATTAAAATTGAGATGTGTTCTTTTAAATATTTTGTTGCACTACGGCATAACATGTGACTGGATGTTGTCTACTTACATTGATTGCCGTCTTGCACTGGATCACCTCTGGGCTGCCATCATCCTCCAAGGTATCAGCAAGCTCATTGATCTCCGTCAAGCGATTCTCATTAGCATTAAGATCCTGAATTAAAATAATAAAATTAATAATTTTCAATACATCTAATTAAGTATAGAGTTAATAGATGGCAAACATGTGACAAATAATTCACATTGATATTTTTTTGATGTCGCTACTGCGCATAAAACTGGGTGGGCATAAAAATGGATGAAGGCCAAACCAAAATTCTGACTTAACATTGAGGGTCGTAAGCAAACGTTTTAGTCAAAATTCAATGTTCTTTTCAATGTGCTTCTTTCATACACTCCATTTTTACTGCTTTATTCTCAGTTTTATTTCTATTTTTCACAGATATTCAACATTGTTTCCAGCAAAAAATGATAAATGAGTCACAAATATAGTGTTTTTAATATATTTGTAAGGTCCACAATAAAATTGCTGACAGGCCACATGTGGCCCGCATGCCACATTTTGCCCACTTCTGGTAGACAGAATAATTAACAAGGGTGATTTACTTAGAACTTAGAAATTCTGATCATCAATATCTTTCATCTAAACACTTCATTGCATATTTCATTTAAGAGTTGAACCACAATCTTCAGATGGCACTGCTGCCACTACACCACAACAGCTTCAACAAACTTCTTTTGCCAAGATTGAGCCTAGAACCACAAACACCATGCTTCACTTGTACTCACCTTCTGGAAGTCATCAAACTTCTTCTGTAGAACTTCCACTTGCTCCAAGTCATCACCCAACTCAGCATTTGTGGCAACTGCTTCCTGCATAATTTAAAAAAAAATAATAACTTATATTTTAAACCACATTTTTTCTCATAAAAAAATTAATATTTATCAATTTCAATTTATTTTTCAACATCTGATTGAAACTTGTCAAAATAGTTTAATTACTTTAATCTTTGTCCACACTATCAAATTTGATGTAATTTGTCCATTGTACAATCTGACATCACTACGCCTATGAGCAATTCACACAAATTTGTTACATTTATTGTCGATAGTGCCTTTAAGGTGTGGCTGGCATTGGATCTTAAAATTCTTCAAAATTAAGTTGTAGTTTATACCTCAATTATAGAGTGCTATAAAACATGTGACTAACCTTATCATTGATCCATTGCATGAGGTCAGCTGCTTCTCTTATCAGCATGTGACGTTTGCAGGATTCTTCCAGCTTCTTCTTGCGGATGTCAGACATCTCCAAAAGGTCAGCATACTGGTTTTCAATCGCAGCTTGACGGGCCATGATGCTGCTCGCTTCTTCGACGAGCTCCGGTTGCGAGGCCGCGGTGGAGTCGATCTTCTTGACGTAAGCAGCAGGAACAAAACCTTGGCGATCGTTGACTTCGACTTTCCACCAGTCCTGACAGACAAAATAATAAAATTTAGTCTCACTCACTGTCTTATAGATGGTTAAAATAGTATACAATTAAGAAGAAAATAAAATGCTTTTACTATTTAGTTGTTACCTTATTTGCGCTATTCAAGAGGGTCAACACATCACCCTTCTTCATGGACACCTCACGAGGGCTCTTTTCAGTGTAGTCGTACAAAGCCAGGACAATCTCCTTACTGGCATCATCACTCACTGGGGCAATTTGTTGCTATAGTAACAAATAATACCACATTTAAATTAGAATACCAAAACCTATTATAATGTAGCATCATCAAATTCTATTAAACAGGAAAACTAAAGGAGTTATTAAAATTAAAGAACTATCTATTCACAGTCAAACCACTGTGTTTTCCAATATTTGGTATAATGTATGTTATAAAATGAAGGATATCGCCATAGTTAAAATAATATTGCAAGTTATATAGGCTTTTTATAGTCTGTCAAACAAAAATATTTTCACAGCAATCGATTCTTTGTCAATTAAAATCATTAAAAATTATTCTCATGAAACACCACTCCACACTTAAGCTATTGATCGTTTTAAGGTTTCAACCATTTTGTTCTATGCTAATGAGATAATGTATTCAGAATGACAATTTCTAAAAATTACCATATTCTATATACAACTAATACAACAAAAAATAAATGAAAAAAATCACAAATTTCCCATTAATTAAACTGAAATGAATGTTGAATTATATGATATATTCCATGTATAGAACAAAAACAAGTAAAAAGTGCTACTACTATACAGACCAAGCGCCACCCTTCCAATAATATGATAATAATAATAGTATGATGATTAATAATAAATTTTAAAGTGTTTATGATAACTGATGCAAAGTATGTACTGTATATTACAATGAGGCTTGTAATGACAATGATGCCTGGTGGTACAAATGGAGGATGATGTGATGATGACATTGGAAATGATTATGATGATAATGAGGAAGAACATGATGACAATGATGATGACAAGATGATACTGATATGTTGATGAAGATGATGATAATGATGACAATGATGATATATGATTGATGTTGTTGATGATGATGAGTTGTGATGTTGGTAAAAATGATTTAAAAATAATTTCACCAATTAAATATTCCATACTAATACTATAAAAATATACTAAATTTTAACAAAATTTACCAATGACAAAAAAAGTACATTAATAAAGCATTTGAAAATACAACCAATTCTTCAGTTATACTACTGTACATGATTTTTTAATGAAAATTAGCTGATGATAATTATAGATGTTGTTAAAATGGCTTAAAGAAGTGTAAAATCTCTGCTGGCTTTAAGTGAAAGAGTGAATATTCTGTATTGTCTACGAGCATAAACTATTACTAGATAAAAGTGATTGTGGTGAATTTGGAATTTCTAATAAATGAGATTGTTTTAATATTATATTGAACTTTGGGTTAGTGATGATAATGGTTAGAATTTGTAATCTTGTGTGCCAATATCTATGTCATTTGTGACTTATATTCTAAAGATCTAACATAATAAATAAATCACAGAGTACACAAGAATAGAAAAAAAACAAATCATTACTGTTTGTAAGTATTTTCATTACGTTAAGTACAAAATAAATAGTAATAAAAATAAATTTTAAAAACAAACCAAAACCTTCTTCCTTCTTATATTATACAGATATTCTGTAGTAGCTGTATTTTACATTTTAGAGTATTATGCTATGCTTGTATAATAGGTCTAATATATTTCTTTTCTTCATTAGAAAATATTTTTCCCAAAAAGGAGCATTAAAAAAAGAAAAATATGACCACATAGAGGTAACCACATAAAAATCCTTCAAAACCATTTATTTTTTTTTAAACAAATGTAAAAAATTTTGAAATAATTAAAATAGATGAATATTTTTATACCCTTTCAACTGGTGTTTGAGTATCCTATGTCAAACAAAGAGGAGGGGATAGAGACAAGATATAAATGCTTCAGACTATTATGATATATTCTGTTTATATATACATCAAAGTATTTCCTCTCCCCCAGTATAAAATAAAGATTAGAAGATAAATAATGACAAAAATACTGATATTATTTTGATTCTTGGATATAAACCATAAAAAGTGACAAAAAAAAATTACATATCAGATGTGTCAGAAACTAAGCTGTGGAAAAAATGGTTTAAAATGGCTCCTGTATTATGCAAATTTGATGTAAATGACACCTGTGTGAGATAATTAAATACAAGTAAAAGATAACATATGAAAAGGGAATAAAACTAAAACAGTATACCAATATATCTATACTACGTGGCATGCTTTATGTTGAGTGAACAATCACAGTCAAACAAAAAACCACAACTGAAACCATATTGAAATGATTTGAGTTCAATATTTTCATTCATTTAGTTTTCTACTAAAATAAAATTATCAAGCTAAAATTCTCAGATATATTTTGTGGAAATTTATGTGACTATGTATTTTCCAAAAAGGTGTTTTCATGCTGAAAAATCTAAATCTAACAGGTATGTGCACTTAGGAATGTTCACATCAGTGCAAAAAAAAACAAACACATAATAATTGGTAAACTATCATAGAACTCTTGCAATTATGCAAATGAGTGAAGCTCTACTTTGATTGGATGAAAGTAAGAGAAAGATGAAGAACCTGTTGGGTGTAGTCAGCACATTCTTGCAGCTGTTACAAGAGAGAGAGAATAAGGTAGCAACAAGCAACCAAGACAACTTAAGCAATGGGGATCTTGCAAACAATATAAGGAAACATATCAAACAATAAGATTTCAGCTACTAACTCTACACAGGGTATAGGGTAAAGATGGCCAAAGGAGAGAACACCATATTTAAGTACAAAAGCTAGGTAAAGATTTTTGCATTTTAAAACAAATAAAAACAGCACATACTTTTCATAGCATAAATATCATTAAAATTTATAAGATAATCACTGTTAAAAAAAATATGCTTTACACTAAAGAGGTATTGAAAAAGGAATTACAAAATAAAATAATAAATATATCTTCCATGCCGGTTCAAAAATTATTCTAACATAAAGGATTATTTACTCACAATGTAAAATTAGCAAACCATTAAATATGGTATGCTTCTAAAATTGTTAACTTCCCAAATCTATCTGACATTTAGATTTAAATAAAACAAATAAAATTTGATTTTAAAGATTTTGTACATCACTTGAATACAAATATATACAGCATAGCTAATTTATTTAAATTTTTTTAAATCAGTGATTTATGGCCCGAGATATCAATATTTAGCTAAAATTGGGCTAAAAACAAAAATTGTCAAGCGTGCATAGAAAACAAACAGAATGTAGGGTATGGGTCATACAGTGGAGAAAAATAAAATGCATTGCTCAAACACACAATCCTGAAAACTTACCCTGCACTCTTCGGCTTGGGACTTGAGGGCGTCGATTGTGGAGCCATATGCAGTCAAGTCTGACATTAATGCTTCATGCTTCTTAAGAAGAGACTGCCAAAATAAAAAAATAAAAACTTGTTTAATATTGATATCTAGGGATATTAAAACAGAACTAATTAATCATTGCTTTGATCATTAGGTGTTTAGAGGGGGTATGATCGGAATTGTTTGAAGATGGTGTGGATTTAAGTCTGGTCTCTGGTATCAGTGGTGGCCCCAGCAATGTGCTGACAAGGGGTCCGACATAGGGGTCTGAGCCAAGGTGCCAACGAAGCCTCAGTCGACAGCCCGGAATAATATCTCCCTTGCAGGGTTCAGATTGAGAGTTATTATGGTTTAGTATGGTACAAAATAGGCTTTCAGCACAATATTAGGGATTGGCAAATTATTATTTTTTTTTTATTTTTGATCCGACGACCTAGCCCTACGTTGGACGACAGGGGGTCCAGGCCTGTCTGACGGAGGGAAAAAAATCCCCTCCCCCCGACACCACCACTGTCTGGTTTATGAAGAGCAAAATGCGGATGCTTATGTTATTTTCTGTAACAGGATGTGTTGTGATTATTCATGTATAATTTATGACAAAATACATTTTAACATAAACCTATTTGTTTACACCTTACATCTTCTGCAAAAGATGTAGTAAACAAGATACAGAAAAAATATTATTTGTTTATGTGGGAAATACTCTATGGTATGAGTAACCAGTTTTAAAGTATTAGGCAAGAAAGTACGATAACACGCTGGAATTGCATCCTGGAAACACCTCCATCCTCCATACTCATTACACTTACCTCAGCAGTATCCTCATCTTTACCATAGTCTGTGCTTCCAGCAATGGGTTCCTTCTCTTTCATCCAGGACTGGGCTTCATTGGCATCGGCAAAGTACTGCTGTGCTTCCAAAGACTCATCCAGATCCTCCTTTCTGCTTGCTGTTTTATCCTGTTAAAATGACAGACGGGAATTTTAGACAACATTATTACTATCTCCTAATAATGGTCAGAGTAATGTCACAGAAATGTTATGACAACAAACCAGTGGTTTGTTTTCTCAAATGAAACACGCACGTGTTGTACTGAAAGTTTAATTCCTTTGTCAATTATTATTATTATTTCTTTGGTCAATACTAAATAAGTGTTAGTTTATTATCGTAAGTAACTCAATTATCATGTGTAACTAATTTACTAATTGAAGATATAATTACCTTTAGGGCTTGCCATCTGGCCTCGAGAGCTGACACTTTATGCTGGATATCATCAGCAGCAAAGTGTTCTGAGAAACAAAGAAAAAAAAAACCAAAATGAATGAAATAAATATATAATGAATAACGTAGGTAAGTATAATGTCCAAACACCAAAAATGAATTAGTTAAAATGAAATGTAATTGATTGATAGTGAATTATGTATGTTTTTACAACTTAGGGCCTAAGCAATGGCTACTAGACCAAGCTTTCATTAAAGCATTGTAATGTTTTGTTTGCTATAACAAAAACGGAAACAAAAATCTTACGTTCATCCACCATTTCATGTCCTTGTGCGCACACAGACTTAATGCGTGGTTCATGTCCTTGGATCTCGGTCATCAGCGCCTGGTGTTTCTTGATAAGATTCTGCACTCCAATCAGATCCTTGCCACGATTGGTGGATGAAGCAATTGGTTCCTTTTCTCGGATCCATGTCTCTTCATCCTCCAAATCGCGCAGCAGCTGTTGAAGTCGGTACGAATCCTCCAGCTTCTTTTTACGGGCTAACAACGGGGCATGAAGCTTGGAGTACTTAGCAGCGACGACCTCCTCCTTTTTGGCAATGTTGTCGGCATCAAAATGACCCTGCTGTGCAAATTCTTCCCGCTGGACCTTGCACGCTACAACACGTTCTTCTCGGGCAACAATGTCACTTTCGATTGTTTCTAATTTTTTTTTCAAACTTGCAACACTTGCCAAATCCTATGGAAATCAATGAGTAAAAAAAAAATAATCTCAAAGCAAAGATATTTATGATTCAATATTATGCTTTAATAAAAAAAAAACATTAGTGCTGAATAAAATAAATAACCCCACTAAATGGATTGAAATAAACTATGTAATGCTTTATATGGAGTCTTGTTACTGAAGCAATGAAAAAATAATCAATGAATTTATTTGGCTTGAATAAAAAATCACGGAATAGGGAGCATCTTGCCCAGCAAGCAACAACTCAACTCTACTTTATCATCATTAATAGTGTTCTGCCGTAGGCAGGACCCCCACAACATTCTCCAGTACTCCCATTTCTCTGCATCCCTCTTCATCTGGTGGTAACTCCTTTCTTCCTTAATGTCATCCAACACCATCATTCTCCTCCTTCATCTTGGTCTTTTCCCTTCAATTCTTCCTTCCATCACGTCTTTCATAAGACCTTTGTGTCATAATATCTCAATTCTCTACATACATAATTGTTAATAGCATTATTATGAGTTACTTACCTTGCCATAATCATCTGATGCTAATTGTGCATCAAGTTCTGTCAGCCAAGCATCCATGTCATCCACATTACGGGTGAAAGTGATGCTGGATTGGGCCTCTTGAAGTCGCATTGCTGTAGGGAAAAATATAAAGATCAATCAGTAAACCCAACAACAGTAACAACATGAAGCTTTCATTAAACTTCTTCATGTTTTTTATGTCGGTGACCACACCCCTTGGGTAGGGGTAGTCGCCAACCACCACTCCAAAATGCTGGTGAGAACCCAGGATATATAGCCTAATATATTTTAGTCTGTCAGCTTCAATAATGTCTGACCAAACTTTTCTATGATAGTGTGGTGTTCTTTCAGATATGTATGAGCAAACAAATCACACTTATCAGAAGTGATGCGAGTCATTTCCACATGTTTATTGAAAGTCTGACAATGCTCTACTTCATAAAAATCTGATCAAATATTGTTATAAGTCTGGAAGACACAGATCTGGTTGAAGTGTAAAAATAAGATATGGAATCGCATAATAATTTAAAAATAGAAACATTTACATTTAGTGCCAGACATTTGAAGAAGCTGTCCATACAACTGGTTGATCTCATCAATCCTCTTCTGGATCTCTTCCTTGTTGTAGTGGTCCTGGTCAATTAACTCCTCGCCGAAGTCGCGGACATTCTCTACGCGTGTCTGATTGGCACTCAATTCTTGCTCAAATGCTTGATGCTTTTGTTGCTTCCCCTGCATGTTGGATGGATCCTGCACACAAGAGAAATATCTCATTAACCATTACTATTCCCATTATTATTTGTGTTATCAATATTGCTTTTGATATGCATTATAACTTATTAATCAAAAGTTGGAGTATTGATTCCTTAAATAATGTAGCATACATTACATTTCGTACTAATGGGAAATATTATTGGAGTTTAAATAAAAGAATCAACTTAATTATTTTTATTATACAATGGGGCAAAAACAGTGAAGAAAATAACCAATAAAAAGTCATACATCTCAAGTAAATAGAAACGATTAAAATATAAGATTTTAAATACAAGTAAGTATAAAATTGGTTTCAAATTCATAATTTATTGACGTAATTAAGTATCTACCTTGAAAGACTCATCCTGTGTGACTCGTAGCTTCTCACTGATCCAAGATTTGACCTCATCTGCATCACGGTCAAACTGCTGGAAGCGGTACGAATCCTCCAATATCTTCTTCCTATCAGCAGATTTATCTGTGATATTAATACGACGGTCTAGCAACTGAAAAAGAAAGAGGAAATTTTCATGTACAATGTTGTATATGACATTAAATGGAATCTTGAGTAGTGGAAATACTACTTAGGAACCCCATCTTGGTACAACCAGAAACATTTTTCATGCTTTCATATTGACATAACCAATATCAAAATTGTGATTCATAGAATGCGTTGACAGAAGAGATTAAGAGAAAATGGTAGGATGGACGGACAAGCAAGAATTGAAATGCTTTTGGCATATAAAGACCTATATAATCTGCAAACCAATAACAATTAGCCTTTAAGCAGAAAGTAATGATTACAATCAAGACATTTCATATGTGGTTATTATACGAAAGATGTAGCCTTTACTTACCGCATCTCTCTTATCATTGACATCATCTGCCGCATAGTGGTCTTGATCAATCAACTCTGACGCAAACTCATCAAGGAGCTGTAATACAGAATACAAAAATCAATATAACCTAAGAAGAATACACAAATAGAACATCTCTAATTTCTGCGTTAGGCCTACTAATAGTTAATTCAATTTCCTAAGGTTTTTCTCTTTATTATTTGTTATTGTAGTATACTACCTTTATCTTTTCTTCATGTGCACTAAGGGACTTCTCAAAGTCATCATGCTTCTTCATCAGTGCCTCAACACCATCCAGAGAATCACCAAGGTCTTCATTAGCAAGAAAAGCCTTCAAAACAAAAACATTCCAGTTTATAATGGTTGTAGCTCTACACAGGTATCTGCAGTAAAAATTTGAGCCATGGCGAGAGTGTCCTAGCCATACAACATGTATGCACTTGAAGATTTATTCTGAATTTTAATAATGCATGACGAAGTTACCTCTTGTTTAGACATCATTGTGTTAGCTTGTTCAACATCACGGTAAAATATCTGCAGGTCATTGCACTGCAGGTACAACACACGTCTGGTTTCCCACAGTTGTAGCAAGGTGAGCTTCTCATTTTCAAGTGCTGCAAGCTATGGGAAAAACAAACAAGAATTATTAAAATAGTAAGATATAACTAAAGAGGGAGTGGTTTACAAGACAATAAAACACAAAAGGATGGAATTAAAGATTATGACACCATAAGAGAAAGGTATTGCAAGAGGATACCAAAAAGTGAAATGTTGAGATAACAAGGGAATGGTACAGAGTACAAAACTGGCACAAGTGCATATAAAAATACTCAAAAGTTCTTTCAAGACAATTAAGGGGTGTCTCCAGTGTTCTGGTTCATCTCACAGCCTGTCATTGTGGAGTAGACTGCACATTTCGGCTGCATGACATGGCGGGACCCTTAGGAGGTAAGTTAGTTGTAAGAATGAGTCGTCCACACCTCTCTAGGGCCAAAAAATTCAAATATGAATTTGGCCCTCAGTCTCGGAATAGAAGAATAACGTTGGCAACTTACTTTATCCTTGACTTCATCTTTGGCTGGATGGTCAGTGTCCACTAGTTCTTGACCTTCATCATCTGTGGCTTTAAACCTGTCTTCATGAGCATCTATCTCACCCTACATGTAAAAATATATCAAAGATATTGCCAAATTCATCCTATTTCATTTTGGTGCATTCTCCTTTCACATTCTATAACACTATTATAACCTAGTTGTCATCTACTGTATGAGTCCAATCATCTTTTCATGTTTGCTAAAAATAGGAAAATCCTTAACTGTCCATTCTATGAATGGATGTGATGTAGCATATAGCATCATTTATGTCTTGACACATCCATGCCCATTAGAATAATACCAAATTACTCAACATTCAGATTTGGTGGGCAACAAAATTTATTTTTGGAAGTACAATTATAACATTAGTCAAATCTAATTTAATCTTAAAATTTATTCTTAAATCTAAGTGAACTAAATTGACCGATCAAATTTCTATTCCTGCCTTACCTTACGTTCTTGATGACGTTCAATGAGTGCTTCGGCCCCGGGGCCGTCTTTTGCAAGCTCATCAGCGTTGATCAAAGCCTTCATGTCTGATGTCCACATGGTAAGATCACGGTAATCGGACAAAAACCGTTGTAACTTGTATGACTCTTCCAAACGAATACGTCGATTGTTAGCCTATAGGCAAAAATATTCAAGTGTTACATAGTCTCAATTATTGGAAATAGTTAATATGTACATGTTTATGTGAATGTTATTGTGTAGTGTTGTATTGTGTTGTTTTTGAGACTGGAATCTTCTTTGAGTTTATACAGAATAAAGTTTATTTTAGAGTTGTGTTACAACATTGTGAACCGAGTTTATATTTTATATGTCAATGAGGGATTCCTAGTTATTTCTTACCACTCGGAAGTATGTCAAGTAGGAATTCATGACAATATTGTTAAGCCCTCTATGCACTTCACATTATCATTACCCTGGTCACTGGATTAAACAGCCTATGGAACACACAATCAAGCTCCCTAGGGTAGTATTCCATAACGTTGCAGCAGCTACATCAGCGAATTATGACATTTAACCCTACCAGGTACCCACGTGAAATGCACAACAAGGTATTGAAACCCCAACCTTATCACCTCAAGGTTGGGGAACCAAACCATTCCCGCTGCGCCAAACTACTTCGTACTTCGGTTTGGTTAGTAAATACCTTTTCTTTGAGATTTTCCCAGTTGGATGAGATCTCGTTTCTCTTGCTTTCGATGAGTGGTGCATCAACTTCATGGGTACTTTCAAGACGGTCTCCCTCCTGACACAAAGCTACAACCTGATTGAATAAAAAATAAAAAGTTAAAAAATATATCATTATCAAGCATTTTAGTTATCACTCTATGTAATAGTAGCTAAGATTAATTTATTCATTGACTTAAAAGTGTAAAAAAGCCTTATTAAAATTAACTATTTTACATTAAGAATATCATATCTAAAATGAAATCCATTCATCAAACAAAGAAATCTACATATTTAACTTAGGCTTTATTTACCTTCTCTTCCAAGGCATTGAGGTCCCTCTCAAGCCCATCATGCTTACGCTGTAAGCCCTGAACGCTAGCTAGGTCACGGCCGTAATCATCAGTTGACAGCATGGTGTCCTTTTCATTAATCCATGCAATTGTCTCATCTGCATCTCTATAATATTAATCAATCAAATCACATTAAGAAATGATGTAAAGCTTTACTCATTGACATAAAATATCAATTATTTAATGAATGAATTATTATTATTATTTTAATTTGTTTGATTTGTTTAATTTTGACTGATTGGGCTTTGATAATCTTTTGATATTTTAATGTTGTAGAAATCATTTTTACTGTTTTGTGATGTCTCGATCAAGGTAAGTTAATTTAAAAATCTTTTTTTTTTGCAAAATACACTTTGGGAATGCAGTGCCTCATAACAAAGGTAGAAAACATCACCACCATCACTACATACATCATCATTAGGTTCACGCCCTTCATCACTTCACTCAGAATTTACCATTTTCTTTGATTACCTGTTGAATCTTTGAATCTCCATAGCACCAAATAGTTTCTCTTTTCTGGCAACTGACAGCAGCTTCAATTGATTCCATGCATCATTCAGTTCCTACAAAATTATACCAATACTATTATTAAAAACTGCTATAATGTTTTTACATAAGAATGGTTTGTCGTAATTGTTTAACAAAAAGATTAGTATATCCTCTATTTGCATTGAACCAGATGAAATATTTGAATAATTTTACTCTTTCCAATTCCCTTGCAGTTTTTGTAAATAGACTGAAATAAATTTTACTGTTTGCTAACATAAAAAACTCCAATATTTTTTGATATTTTAAATGAATTAGAATGGAGTAAACTTAGTGAAAAATGGGAACAATAATTACTTATAATAATTTTTAAGTGTTTAAATGACTATGCTCCATGTTATCTATCACAGAATTTTATGTTTAATGACTGTCTGTACTCACATTGTACTAGAAGTCAAAGTGAAAATACTCTTATAGAACAGCCTTAAAGTAATATGCAAGGTAAAAGAACGTTTGTATACCTTTGTAATAAGCTCTGGAATAAACTCCCAAATGATATTAAAATAAACTTTAAACCTATGATAATTTCAAAATTCGAAAATTCTATCAGGTCTATAAAATCTAAAACAAACATTTCCTTGCTGTTGCATATATTGCATATATTTTTCATTTAAATATATTTTTTAATGTTATGTAACTGTAATGTATATTATTATTATTTATTCTTTTTTTTTACCTTGTATACTTTAAAGCATAGTATAATACATACTCCAAGTATCGAAATGCATGCCACACAGTTGCCGATTGACTTAATCTTTCTGCAATTTCTTAGTTATATATTTTTTCCCCAAATGGAGAGCCATGATGTAGGGAAGTATGATATATGTGTTGATATTATTCAGGAGGTTTTGTGAAGGGTTAATGCAATGGGCCATGGATTAAATGTAGGCCTTAAAATATACTGAGTGTCTGCTTACCTCTTGTTTGTCCTTGATGATGTCAGATTCGGGATGTTCCTCATTAATTAACATATTTGCTTCTTGATTGACAGCTTCTACACGATCTTCATGAGCAAGAAGGTCCTAGAACAGTTCAAAGATTTTCATATTTACTTAGTGTTGTACTGAACAACTTTATTTACCTAACAATTTTTTAAATCACACAAAAATAAATACAATATTGAGTATATGTATTGAAAATGTAATTTTATACTAAGAGAATGACATTTTCTAAAATATATATAGAATATTTTTCTGTATTATACTTAATAAAAGATTTAAATTGTGTTTATAGATGTCATTTTCATATTTCTTATTCCAAGTAAATACTGAACTATCTTAGAAAATGTTCAAGTACATTTTTTGATTGAAGGTCCCAACCATCTAAATTTTGAAATTAATAATGAAAAAAATGCAAAATCAATTATAAATACTTCTAATGTATATTTTTTATTTTTTGGGGGTTTTATTGTCTTATGAGTAATTGCTATGTTAATTAATAATAACAATAAAATCAATACAGAAAATTTAATAACCAGACTTAAATAACACTATAGATTTCAGAACTAAATCAGTGAATTAATGTACCTATTTTATTATAACATATAATATTTACCTTGTTGAACTCATCAAATTTCTTCTGTAGTGCTTCCACATGTTCTAGATCACGGCCTGTCTCAGAGGATGAAGCAAATGCTTGCTAAGAAAAAAAAAGTTTAATTAACTATAAATCAATATGAATGAAATAATAATTGGTTAAAAAAAAAAGGAGAAAAGAGTCATTAGAATGAATCTTCGCTATTTCATAGTATAATGTAGCGTGTAAATCTTTGAAAACTAAACTTTTTATCAGTGATTTATCAAATAAATAAATTGGAAAATTTGTATAGCGCCTATTATAAAATATTATTTGTAATTATTATTATTTGTTATTATTATCATTATTGATAAAGTGATACATAAAAATTAACAATTATTTAATTTTGTTATGTTTTTCATTGATATTTTAAGTTTCATAACTACTACTATGAAGTCAAATTCCATATAAATAAATTGTTTTTTTTAATATTTTATACATTATTTAAAATAAAATAAATTAAATATTTAACACAGTAGTTCATGGTATTTAAAGAATTATTAAAATTATTTTCTTCCAAACAACTACTTTACAGATGAATAAAATAAAACTAATCAATGAGATGTGGGAATGTGTTTATTTTAGTAAACAGAAAAAACTTATATTGTTACAAATGATTTATAGTTTAACTTTCATCCAATCTTTATATCAGATCACTATATCATTGTAATAGCTTAAGTCTGACCAATCATGAACTATCCAAAATCCCTCTTATTGTCTGTACATAATAATTACTTCCTGCGGTGTATACCTGAACAAAGCCTGCGGTAATTGACTACAGCAGTACTTCCAACAACCTAAACGATCACTTCCTTTGATTAGCTTGTTGCATTCCCTCAATACTACTGTAGTCAACACAAATTGTTATATTTTTGTGGTTCTACCCCAATAATTTTTCTCAATTTCAATAATATGTTTTAGTTTATATATGTAAGAAAACTTTAAAGACCACCATTTTTTCTGGTGCCGAAAGTGGCCAAGATTAATCAGGTTAATAAAAATAAAAATTTATAAATTAATAAGTAAAAATAACAATCTATCATAAAACTAGTATTACACACCATTTAAATTAATGAGAGTGAAGTGAAGCTTACCTTATCTTCAATCCATGACATAACTTCATCACATTCTCGCAAGAAGTGAACCAGTTTCTGAGCCTGGAGAAGTTTAATGCCCTTCTCCCTCAGCTTGAGCAACAGCATATCCCATAGCCGATGCAACTCATCCAGACGGGCCTAGAGAAAAAATATTCCACAAAAATTAAAAATGAAATTAACAAAGCCAAAGCTATGGCAGAATTTTTTTAAAATAAGGATATATTTCAAATAAAATGTGGAGTTATCTTTGTCAAAATTAATCCAAAGAAAACATGACTTCAGCATAGTATGCTATCATTGTGTTTGCTTCTGTGATCTGATAAAATTTATCATGTAATAAATTGGAGTTTGGAACAATAAGGTTAAGAATGTGTTTTTTTGTTTCAAAATCAAAACCTAGCCTTTTAGAAATTAGACTATATAAGTATCTACCTTAAAATGCATTTGCTTTGAAATAAAAAAAAGTAGCATTTATGAACTGGAAATTATATATTGTAGTAAGTTGGCTGGCCTTGGCTATCTCAGTGATGAAACTTAGCATTCAGAGATTGAAGTTTCAAATTTTCTGTGACAAAAAACCCATTTAGTAAAGATGTGCCTATATATGGTCATGATGTGATGTCATCCTGACCATATTTAGTAAAGATGTGCCTATATATGGTCATGATGTGATGTCATCCTGACCATATTTAGTCATGATGTGCCTACAGTATATATATAGTCATGATGTGATGTCATCCTGACCATATTTAGTCATGATGTGCCTATATATGGTCATGATGTGATGTCATCCTGACCATATTTAGGCATGTCACATGTTTTTGTTAAATACAATTTGAGTGTGGACAGGGCTTCATAAACTCCTTAACATTATTATTATATTTAAGATGAAGAGTGATATTAACGCTGAACCTATATTTATGTACAATATGCAAAAAAACTTTTTTTAACTTAACCAAATAGAATATAATTAATAAATCAGTCAGCAAAGAAAATCACATAATAAATCAATGTTAATGAATGTGAATGTAAAATATACTAATGGTGGAGAATAGGATACAACAATTGTAAAAACTGAGAAAACAGTGATGTAAATATGAAAAATAATTACCACCAAAAGGTAGAGGTTTGTATTTGCAAATCTAAATTAATGTGTATGCTTTCAAATTCCCCTTTCCCAAATATATGGCCTAAATTTTTTTTTGTTTTTTTGTTAGCTTACCTGGATGGTCTCAGAGGCAAAGTGGCTCTGCTGAATCATGGTGTTGCCCTGGACGTCCAGCTCATCAATGTTGTTCCTGTGGGCAACCACCTCTGCCTCGAAGGCCTGGTGTTTCTGAAGCTTTCCCTGAAGAATTATGAGTCAAGATGACTTAATGATTATGTAACAAAAAACATTTATAAACACAACATACTCATATTAATAAGCATCCGTATCATTATACTTCGACTGAAAACAAAATGCTTGTTTCACCATACCGTATTCATGAAGAATGTGTTTTAAAAAAATTCACATATATTCTTTATATCATAAAAATCATGCAATTTGAACCTCTGGTTTTTTTGCTTGTGATACATGCAAAGACTGACCATCATTCAATAGTTATTGAATGAAAGGAATACATTGTACTGAGCTGCAGGAAAGAGAGAAGGAAAGAATGTAAGAAAAGCTCTCACAACAAAACTAAAATAGGAAGAAGAAAATCATATAAATAAGTGAGAATCTAAAACTAAAACAGAAGAATAAGAAATATACTAAGCTTAGCAATATCCTACAACAGAAGTTGACATGTTCTTTTAAACAAAAACAAATATTAGAAAATTAATATATATCCTGATTTTCAGCTGTACTGTAAATGTAAAGTACATTGCCATTCAATTGGCTATCAACATTCACCTAAATACATCATTTAACACCTTAAATGAAATGTTACAACCTGTATACAAGTAAAATTAATATAACAATAATAATGCAAATAATTTACCTAAAGAATGAATGAAATAAAAAGATATATCAGTAGCTATTAACCAAACTAATATTATTCTGATGCTACCAATGTAAAAATAGGGCCAACGTAACATATTTGTACTACTGTAGATATTAGCAAAATATTTTCTATGTTATTTCTACTGTTCAAACAGTTAGGTTTTAAATAAGCAATGTTTGATATAAAACCCATGGTGATTAACCTAAATATAATAAAAATTGTGTTCTAAATTGTGTTCTAAAAGTCTACTTTTTTCCCTATTTCTTTCTAGCTAATACATACAGTATTTAATAAGGTGTACTACTCTATTAATGATGATACGATTAACAGATTTTTTTGTCAATATTTTACAATGCTTACATTGATCAATATAGCACCATGTTATCAGTATACATTGTAGATTAGCTGAAGAGTAGAGTTCAGCCCACACCCAAATCTCCCTGCCATGATGAATGGTTGAGTCCATACCAATGTGATGAATAGACTAGCCAGCTTTGAATGGATATTGATTCAAGCTAGGTATTGAATAATGCTATAGAATGAACACTTCACAGACTGTGCAAACATGTATTCACTAAGTCCAACGATCCTTATCAAATGATGCATGAAATTCAGCTAAAACCGGTATACAAGTATCTAGATCAGATACACTCTAGGTTGTATGGTACATAATTATATTATTCATTTATATTAATTATACAGTGGGGTACAATTTCAATTAGGCTACAATAAAAATATTATGATGTCCAGTAGTTCAGATTAAATTCTAACCACAAAAATATAAAGAATAAAATCACTTCAGTTAGACAATATTTAAAAAAATACATGTATTAGGCCCAATAAAAAAAATTATCAGTTTTTAACCCTATCTAGGCTGGAAAAGTCATGAGGGAGGGAGGTATTTTATTTTTATTTTGCTAAAGCCAAAGATCACCCTTGGGTTGTTTGCTGGTGCATTGATATTCAAAGTAAAACACATGATTGAGTACACACAATATCTAATAATAACTAAAAACATTTTAAAAAAACAATATTTTTCTTTTACTACCATAGAACACATACAGGCGAGGATGAAAAACTAATATTTTTTTCTTATTGGGCCTTACAGTACCTAAAAATAACATCTTGTCTGGCTGAAATTATGTTGAAAGAAGGGCCTCTTGAGTATTTGAGATGGGGCATTGGATATACTGTACAATATGCATACTGTATTGCACCCGCCTTTCATACAAATGTGCCTTTAGGAGCTTAGTGAATTAACGCTAGTTAGCGTAGGGTTGTAGTCGAATGTTGTCCTTATTCCACATTGCAGAGTTCAGTTTAGGTTCCTTCGGTTTTGGGGGTTTTTTTTGGTTTTTTTTGGAAGGAAGGCGAGTTCTAAATTCTTGATGAGAGTAATACCTTTAATACCAATAAATTTGCTTTAATAGGCATAAATAAAATATCCTAATTGTATTGTTTACTCAATATTCTTCAGGTCTTAAATTAATAATTAAACTTCCACATAATGCTTGACTGATGTCTCTAATGCGCTTCATATATTTAAAATAATCAATTAAACTATAATGTACCTTCAAACACAAAACAAATTAACTATTTTCTCAGGGGATATAAATTAATGAAAATAAGGTGATTAGTGTTTACAAAGGTGTTCATAATTCTCCAACAATTTGTTACAACTTGGACTTTATTGCCAACTGAAGTGAAAGATAACACTAGATAGGATCCTTAGAGACAGAAATAATAGGTAGAGATGCCTCCCATTTCAATACACATTACCCAGCAATATACATCCTTGGAGCTAAGGAGCTTACAGCTCCATTATTAAACCTACATTATCTCACCTGGAAAAATGCATCTCATTAGCACCTCACCTACTGTCGACATACAGACCATAATACTGTAGATTGTTGTAGTGACGTACAAAATAAATTAAAACAGTGATAGCATGAATTTATTGATGTTTACAGTTTGAATCTTCAAATTTCAATGATGTCCAATAGCAATACCATCACATAGGTTTAAATAATTACACTGTACATATTCAATGTAATCCCTTGATCTATTCTAATTTTCAATTATTATGCTCATGATATGTGACAATATTCAACAAAGAGGATTGTAATTTTTAAATATATTTGGAAACTTGGTAAAAAACTAGGTACTTCGGTCAAGCAACTTTAATCAAATTTACAAAGTAGGTCTACTATCTGTCAATACAATCAGTCTGGTTTCTTTCATTATTTTTTTTAACACGGGTAGTATCTCTAGATTAACTGACCCTCGCTTGCCAAAAAAGTAACAGTTTCTATATTTTTACCTAGACCCTTTAGCTGTTGTGCTAAAAGGTTTGTCAATCAGTGAAAACTTGGTTTGATTTCATTGGAAGTTAATAACATATTTTATATACTTTAAATGAGCTATTAAATGTTGTGAATTCTAGAGTTCTATACACTTGGCAAACGGTATCTAAATTACCATTATACCTACAGTAGGTCAGCCTAGATTTTTAAAAGTTTTAAATTGAAAATTGGATTAATTTATGTCCACAAAGCCTTCATTTATGAAGAAGCCATAAGAAGATGAGATTCTAATTCAGTAAATGCTGAGCATACAGTACAAGCTAGATAATTTATAACACCATACTGTATCTTGATACTGATAAAGTAATTACCATTGAAGGCACATGATAGGTAAGGAGACTGAATAATAAATTACATATATCATGTGACCAAATAACAGCTAATTTATCTCGCATCTATATACTAAAACTAGGGTATTCAACCTTTTTAAGCTGGGGGCCAATTCCAATCTGTTGAGACCAGCAGCTGACCAACATAAGTTGTGGACCAACATAAATTGTGTACCTCCATTTTTTTTCTTTGCCAGCCACACCCATTTTTTTTTTATAGCGGTGGATTGGAAATAGAAAGGGCAAGGGAAGAACTTTTACAGATAGGGACGAATTTCCAACATGGTGGGGCTAGGTAAGAAAATTTATGATTATGGCACCTCTAGGTAGTCGGCAATGGCATTCTCAGACTTTAATTTGAAAGTAATTTTCTTTTCTTCTCCATTTTATTTTAGAAATTTGAAAAAAAAAAAAACCCTTGCACTCCAGGTTTTCCACCTTGCTACTAGAAATTTATCTCCGACAAAAATATCCACTCACAAGTTGTAGGGGCTGAGTTGAGCAAACTATTAACAGATACCTCTAGATTCCTAGAAATGGCACTTTCAGACTCAAAAATAAGTTTTCAAATCAGTGTTTTCAACAAAATAACATGCCCCTGAGTCTACTGGTGCCACAGATGGTTAGAAATGGCATCACATCAGCACCGATACAGTGAGCTACACTCAGAAAAAGCCACACTCTTGTAAACAATGCTACAGTGTGGGGTGCCTCTGGTGGTGTTGCCATAAACAGAAAAAATCTTCTAAAAATAGGCTGGAAAATTATTTATTTTTAGCAATGCTGCGCGGGCCGATCAAAATCTTTGGCGGGCCGGTGGATGGTGGTTGAATACCGGGTACTAGAAAGACCAACTGGTATTCCTATAACAGTACAGTAGAAGCGGTTACCTCAACTTCATTACCTGAAAATTGTGATCTTTAATAATATAGTTAGTGAAATTTCCAAACAAATCAACATTGAATAATTGAATAGAAAAAAACTGATAAAAACCAAAATTTAATGAAAACAATCAAGAAAAATTGGCAAATATGCTTTCCTAAACATAAACAATAAAACAAGGAATCTTGTTTTTCATGCATTTAATGTACTCGATCTATTATCTAATGAACTTTAAATGCAATGCATAATATACTCTGGTTTAATCAAAATCAGAACTTAATGAATAATACATTACATGCTAATGTAGTTTTTTTTTCTGATGATGAGTCTTAATTATGCATGACATCCATAAAATTAAAATACTGGTACTGTACATAGCAGCTTGGTTGAGAGCAAGCTTTCAGAACGCAATTTCACAAGTGAACTCTATGAATGAAGCACTACGGTAAGTGGAGTAAGGTACTTTAGTGATGAAGCAAAGGATGATAGATCTCTAATTCAAGCAGCACAGAACTTGTATTACTATTGCTGAAAAATCGTGCCCAAAAATGCATTGATTTAAATAAATATTCCTATTGTCATACTGCAATGTACACCTACATTTACTACTCCTGTAACATAGGAATTATATCTTGCATACTTTGGACACGATCCCTTAATCGACTGCTGCCTTAACAGTACATCAATGATTTCACAACGCTTGAGGAAAGGTCGTAGGTGCAAGCACAGCCATAAGGCCAACACAGTTCTGGATTTGCAATGAATATTGTGAATAATTTATGATTGAATTTCAAGTTAAAAAGTTGGGTCACCATATCGGTTTGAAGGATATTTATTTGAAGAATACTCAATATTCAATGCCAATTCATGTTTAAGCCATCACCCATGAAATAATATTTATCATACAATATTCAAGTCATTCAATTCAATATATTCACTGCACATTATTATGCTTATTTTGATTGGTTTAAACGAGCACACTTTCTGTCAGCCAACAATTAATACATGTAATATAATGACAGTGTGTTCGATTGCTTTCAGTGTTTAGCCCTACCTTTAGATTGAACAGATTAAAGTAATCCTAGAGCAATCGCAGGTCGTTAAAAGTGTTGTGACAAAAAATGTGAACATTCAAACAAAAAAATAGTGCATCGTTATATAACGGGTAATGAAACATACAGAACAATCTATGGCTAATAAATAACAAGTTACAAATAACCAATTTTTGAGATTTTTTAAATAGAACAGGTTTTGTAGTAAACATCACACCTTCCATTGTGAAGATGATAGGTTTGGTTTTGCAATAATTTGTTTCAAAAATACAAATTTTGTTATAAATCTCAAAAACTGAAACAAATTCTATCTACAAAATTGGGTAACACGTTTACATTATTTAGCATGGATATTCTACAGGCTACAGAATTGGGTATTAAGCAATTTTATTGAATATACTTTCCCTAGTTCTACAGAAATAACTAAATTCATCAGTGTACTAATATTAACCCTGTATAGAATTACTGATTTTTAAGAATTGTCACCCCTCTAGAAATAAATCCTATGTTAGCATTTATTGGGTTATCCCAGATATCATAACCTTTGTTTTTTTTAAATTATGGTATCAAAAAAAATCAAAGAACTTGCACATGTTCCATAAAAACCAGTATTCAGGAATTCAGTTGCTCAAAGTAATTTCTTTGGACCTTAGCAACAAAATCTAATGGGTGGGACTTAGTAGAATAATACACTAGTAAAGTAGTTATTATTCTAGTTTGTTAAAATCTAAAAATTGTGAGATTTTTTTAGCATCCTGAAATATTAAAATTTTTCTAAATGTAAAGACAAAAAAAAACCTTTCTATGTAGAATTCTGTAATTAATTTATTTGTACTAAAATTTGTAATAAAATTTTGATTAAAAGCTCCGCCCACACAATCAACTTTTATGTGACAAATACATGTGGATTGCCCATATACCTGTATGGCTTTCATATGACATCATCATATAGTTATATATCTGTCACACAAAATTGATAGTGTGATTGATAGTGACCATACAACTAACAATTTCAAGAATTCTGTGTTACAGCAAAATAATACCCTACTTATTGTTTGACATAGGATCAAATGCCATGAACAATAACATGAAAAATTAACATAAACATGTATTCATTTTATACCTGCAGATTAACAGGATCTCTCCAGCTTTCATCTGATGCTGTCTGCAGCTTCTCCAATATCCAGGACTCAAGTTCATCTGCATCTCTTTTGAAGTACTGGAACTGCCTGGCATCTTCTAATTTCTGTCGACGTTCTGCTGCAAGTACTTTGAAATGTTCATATCGATCTAAGACCTGCTTACGACGATCTGTGATGTCCTCAGCAGTGTCCAGTATTTTGATCCCTTGATCCGCCATTTTTCTTAGGGATGTGGTATTTACCGGCCAGTTACACTCACCTAGATTTATAAAAATATGAAGTTACCATATTTAAATTTTAAAAAAGGCATAAAAAAATTTAGACTACAAATATAATACTGTATTTAAATTAATTATGCAAGTAAATAGTAGTTATTTTGCATTTGTATCGATTTTATAGTAGTTTGGGTAGCACCAGACAAAAAGAGTTTTCGCTACCATTTTACCTGCCTTAATATTTTTTTATTTACTGTATATTATTATTATTATTATTTCTAGTCCATTGGCCAATTTGATAGCTGTGTTGCGTTCTAATGGAACTAGGGCTTGGACTAAAACTTGATTAAGTGGCCTACATTTATAATGTAGGTCTGGACACATAACCTAAGTTTATTTGAAAAAATGGATAAAGTCTTTTGCCTTTCAACCACATCATTTTCATATTAATACTTTTGCCTACTTTTATTATGACCAGGGTAACTACTGTAAAGCTACGTTCACATCAAGCCCGGATCCGGTCTGGAAGCCCGAAAAAAAATCGTGAGTTGCCACGTTTTTTGAACGCTGTGTTCACATCACGCATGGAACATGGTTATTCGGGTTAAGTACGTATGCGTTCGATTGATTCTGACCAACCAAACTTGTTGCCGATTGGTCCAAGCAAAAAAAAAAATGTACGATTTCAGGATACAAATGGCTCTCAGATCCATCGGTCCGGATCCGAAGTCCGGAGTGGAAATCGTACGAATTTGATGTGAACGGTCTCATTCTTTACCACTGAACTCATTTTTCACGATTTTTTTCTCTGGACTCCGGGCTTGATGTGAACGTAGCTTTACCTGGGTTTTGCTGGGATTTTACAGGCATCAATGATTTGATGCTATTTTGTTTTGAACATTATACAGTTTTTAACAAAAGAATGTGAATGAACTTTCAATAGAGATTTTCTATTAAACTCTTAACTACAGTAACATTATTGTATTAAAACAAGCATTTGCCATTTTGTTAACTGTAAAAATGATTTATTCAGATGAAGCACATACACGGCATATTAATATATGAAAACTTATTATGATGTGAATTATGAAGTAAAAAAGTTCTGGACAGATTCAATTTATTCACAATTTCACTAACTAACTAAGCCTATTATTTAAATACACTAGGGTGCTCTGATCTGAGCCTGTATTTGTCGTAATTAAAGTAGCAAAATTTCGATTCTTGATTCCCCCCACCCCACCGTCATTAGCTGGTGTAACGAAAGAAGGACAAAACCTGAGAGTGTCACCGCACACCCGCCTCCTCCCCATCTGTCGAGATGGGGTCGAGATGTGCCTAGCCTAGGCCTACACACTCAAGATAGGATGTTGAAAAAAGGCGTAACCTCGTCTAGCCTAAACTCCATACTTGTAACACAAGAGCAACACAATTCACTCACGGGTCATTCATAGAAAATGTACATAGTGAGTTAAAAATAGTATAATTTTCCAAATGCACCGATTAATATTCACCGTTATAGTATACTTACAGTTAGAATTTCGAAATTCTACCAATCGTTTTCAGACGTACACAAACTGTTGGTACGGCATAGCGTCTTTCACGGCAATCTCAATCGGATCCACTCAAGGTTGGTTTACGATATGCAAAATACCTTGCTATTCCATCTACGTGTCCTAACCCCTCTACATAATTAAACAAATAACAGAAAGCTTGATATTTATTTAAAAATTATATTATTCGTTAACTCTGTACAATTATAGATATAGTTTTATAATACAACAGTTGTAAAATTATTTAGCACTTGTAAAAAATTAAGAAATCTCTATATGTACAAATAACAAGCAATAACAAGATTAGAAGAGCTACAGTATTTATTGTACAAATGTGTAAGCCGCCCTCTTCAGTATGCTGCAAGTAGCATCAAAGGAAATTCTATTTTCTGGTAGAATAGATAAAAAGTGGTAACTTCGTACTGTAATAGACCTATATTGAATACTGTATAACGTTTTGATGTGATTTTCGAAATACTGTTATTGCTACTAGATGTTAATTGAACAGTTTCATTTTCAATAGTAGTAAATTAATTTAATTAATAGATGACAGTTAAAATGTACTTTCATAGACAGAAGAAGGGTTCTTTATAGATGTTTTGAAACCAGGCAAGTAACCAGCTTTAATTATGGGGAGATTAGCTTAAAAACTAAACAGAACTCACTTTGTGTACGCATGAAGGAGGTGGTACCACTAATAGCAGATCTCGGAAAAATATAGTTTATATGGATGTCAGGAAATATTCCCAACATTAATTAACGCTTAGTTTTTAAGAAAATTATATATGTATGTATGTATATATCTGTCTCTTATACACATCTAGATGTGTATAAGAGACAGATCTAAAGCAGAGTACATGCCTTGAGATAAATCCTGAACATCAAAAACACGTCTGTGCTCTAACACGATTTTATGTATTTTGATGTGTGTTGATGTTTTCTTTTGCTTTTTTGGAGTCAATCTTGAATAAATTGAAACTGAAATTGAAATACAACATTAAAAATTTTATATAGAATTTTATATTACGTCAAGAGGCCCCTTGGCTCATGGTTTCCTCTTGGACATTTGTATAATGTTAAGTATAAATAAATTAACACAGGACAAAAATATAACTAAAGCAGATATAAAAACGAATACCATTTATTGAAGTTTCATTCACTTATCATATCATTATCTGAACAGATAATGTGAAAACATTAATTGGTTAGGTGTTACAAGCTAAATAACTGTAAATATGTACCTATATTAAATTTTTAACATTCTAATTTCTTATGTAATAAAGATTCTTCTTTTAAATGTACAATACATACAAACTTCTACATCTACAGATACCTTTGTAACCGACATCCCTCATAAGGCATTTTGAATTTCACTTTCTTCATCAGCACACAACAGGCATTAATTGGCTTACAAAAGAGGCTAATATATTTACATGTGAGGTCATGTCACATGAGGGAGCCCTTTAGTTTTTTTAAATTAAAGCTTTTATTGCTTGCATGACAACCATGACAACCACCGAAGACTACTTTATATATATATATTGAGATTGCTTGTGCTTTAAGCATACCTCTCTGAAAATTCAGGATCATATTAGTAGTATGTAGGCCCTATATAAGCATACAGATTATTATGAATAAAATCATCAGAAATGCCAAAAGTTGAATATGAATATTACTCAGTACACCCTCATAACTTGCATAAGGATATTCTGTCTGTGATCAGCTAAGAAACTTTAAAAAACTAAAAATGATTTGAATTGGGTCCATGACGAAAGGTCGAAGATCCTTGAAAGGGGGTCCATACCCATGGGTGTGGGCTGGGGATGTGGGGTGTTGACCATTAGGTTCATATTGGAATATGAATTGAATTCTGTGTTCTCAACTTTTGAGCATGCTCCCACCCCCCCCCACCCCTTCCTGCACACACAGGCTGAAATTAGCCTATGCCCTCACACCCATATGAATTACACAATGATAGAAGCAAATTTTCAGAATAAGCATCCCTAAATGCCCCATGACACTCACAGCCTGTAAAATGTTATTTAAAGAAGAATTCCCGGCGAAATAACTAAGAAAGTGAACAGATCATTTGCAAAACTTAGTATGTGAAAAAATTATAATTTCTATTTTTGGAACCACCAAAACGAAAATCTCAAGTTAACTGGCACAATATATTTCCAAACCTCATATAATCATTTATTTTTCAATATTTTTTGGAATAAATATCTAATAAGGTTATTATAACTTTTAAAAAAAAATAAAAAAAAAACAATATCTATTTATTGAACATGATTATGTTATGTTATTATTTTATTCCAATAAACTGGTTTTTTGAAACAAAAATAATATAATACAATCTATGTTACAGAGATACTGTCTGTGAAAGGCTAAAAAAAAAACCCAAAATTAAAACTATATTTGATTTACTTACTTTATATATCTAGAATTATTAGTTTAAATAGAAAAACATTCACCTAATGTATACTCCTTTCATAAATCCTTAAATTTGTTGGTAGCAAATTTAAGGACTTCTGTAGCAAACCTCTGTAAATCAGTGCAAACTGAAATATTTTGAGTTGTTTTTTCTGTATATCAGTAACTTTTTCATTTAAATAAACAATTGAATATTTTAATACAGGTTTTACTGATTATATTCTAAATCATGTATCAATATGTTTGAATAATAACATAGATTTTTTGTTCATATAAAGAAATTAAGTTTTGTAATGAATAGCTGTTAGAAATACAAACTGCTAATTCTTCAAACTGTCTAATGCTATGTATACTGACCCATATATGAAATTTTGTTATAATTGTTGTCAGTTATGAATATTATTGTGCATGTTGTAGAAGAAAATGGAAAAGGGGGAGGGGTCCAGGGCTCTTGGTGGAGGTAGTGGGGTGTTCCAGACCCCCAATAGGGCTTTTCAACTAAAACATCCATAAACAAAATTGTACAAATTGGTTGTTGCATTGACACAATATCCAATTCTAGTACTTATGAGAATCAAACAAAAAATAAATTCTACATAAAATTACACCAATTCCCTTTTTTCATCAAACATGAAGTTACAACAGGTAGAAAATGCCTTGGTAGCATCAGGTACAATGTTCAAACCTAATATGGCCTTACCAATTTGGTAAAAGCCCATTTAAAAAGAGTATTATCGTTCACCATAGAAGTACTACCAAACCATTTTTACTTATATTTACTGACTAACATGCTACTCAGCAATTTTGATTCATCGACTTTAAGGATATTTTCTTATTTAAATTATCTCAAATTTCCTATCCAAAATAAATTCAACACAGATGAAATCTAAATAAAAACAATATAACTTTGTCACTTTGCTTGAATATGTTAGAAAATAGAGATTTATAGAAATCCATTTTGTCAACAGTGTTTAATAATTTCTACTTATTTGCATTTGACCAATCACAGACAACCTTTTGTAAATCAGAGATGGGAAAAAAATTTTCCAGTGAATACAAGCACCGCTAATTAATGTGAAGAAAATATGTATAGAGTATATATATATTAAAGCACCTAGTATTTGAGTTACAGCAGATGAGGTATCATCCCCCCCATCCCCTCACATTAGTCTACACAAGTTTGCTAGTACCAATATTCCTTAATTTATACTCAATATGTTTTCCGTTTATAAAAAAGTATAATTTACAAAATCGGTATACAAACTGATGAATATGACATTAATAACTAGAAACAATCACTTTCCTAATGACAATTACAAAAGTGGTAAAATTAATATTAGAAAAATAATGCAAGCAAAATGGTAAAAAAATCACAATGATAACAATATGATTTTAATAATAATAGTAATTTATAACAAAGTTTAATAATCATCATAAACATCAGCATAATAAATAATTTTACAAAAAATGTGTTCTCAATGTGTTTTCCTGTAACCTCATGTATTAAAGCAATTATAATCATTTCACCTAAATTCCATAAGAAATAAGTGTAGCGTTTTTTCCCCACATATTGAAGTTTGAAAACTTTTATGCATTCTCCGACAATTCAAACTGTGATACATTATAAACTCTCATTTTTATTATATATGTGTTAATTATCAGATATGACATCAATCATGCCCCTATGTAATATTATTATCTTATATATATACCTTTAGAAGGTTAGAGCTGCTATGAAAATTGAAGAACAAATGAGACATCGGGGCGGTTTTCTCCACCCCACAGCTCAGACATCTTCATGGCAGCTCTGTTAGTAACACAACAAAATAGACTTCCACACATTTATTGTTATTTTACCTTTGACATTAGTATTCATATGTAGAGTTTAGAAATATGAACTACAGAAATGAAGAATTACACTTAATTAATTGGAGGTTTCTGATTGGTGGCTTTAGATTATGTGGTATGATAAAATTACACAAGGACACTTTTACACTACAATATTCATCCATATGATTTCTAAACAATTTATAAAAATTCATAAAAATATAATTATCAGCAACTGGGTTGAATATAATCTGTGTTTCGTTTATACAGGTCTACGCTTATCATTTATAAAGAAACAAAATTAATTAAAAATTTTTTTTTGTTAAAAATGTTTATATTTTTAACAATGTCTTTTTCCCTAATGATTTTAATAGTATTAAAATTTAATTATTACAAAATAATTAAACTAAGAATTAATAATAATGATAGTAAAAGTTAACTGTCAAGATTATAAAATTTTATTTGACAAAAATTTGATGTGCCTAAATATGGGCATGATGACATTATATCATGACCATATATAGGCACTTCATGACTATATATGGGCATACAACAGATTTTTGTCAAATAAAATTTGAAAATGTGGACAGAGCTCAATACAAATAAAAGTTACATGGATTTATTGGTATGCAAGAGTGAATTGTGCCTTTTCTAAAATCCGCTTTATCAAAATTTACAGAAGAAAGAAATAACCAATAAATTCAAAACATTATACGCGAAAATATTCCTGATTTAAAGTATTTAGACTCGGTATGAATTAGCATATTGCATAGAAATACTGCAGGCTTGCTGGTCAATAACCCTATTTGTGCGGGGAAAAACCAGTAACAGAATGAAAACCAAGTCTCCTGTACCAAATATTAGCACGTGTATTTAGGTTAGGCCCCTAATCTCGATACCTTAGTAAAAACAATTTGCATAGCTCAGGTTACAGACAAGAGTAACAAAAAAATGAGAAAACCATTGTACATGTTGTTTAAAGAAAATTACAAACAAAAATATTTACAGGATAGTTTACGACAAAACACAAATGTGGAAATAATCGAATTCATATTGTTTAATGGAAGATCACCATTTGAATTTGACCTATTTCTGAATCTTAGCCTTAATGTCTGTTGTCATGTTGAACAAGTTTCTAATAATTTGTTCAATTTCTTTCTGTTTTCCAGACGTGTACTTGATTTTAAGATTCTTAAAATGTGTATCAAAGTCATTCAGTGTTTCGAGGAAAGAGAACCTATAACGTACAGCCAAAAAGTCAACATATTTTTGGCATGATAAATGAAATATTTCAATGTCATCACATAATTCGTTACTCTTACTGTAATCATTCCTATCTAGTATTGTTGCAAATCGAGCTGTTAAGGAATCTGATAGTTTTAATAAGGATTCCTTAGTGACCTTTCCTATACTCATAGACAAGTCATCCCTACCTATCGTGCCACGCTTCGACCGTGCTTGAGGTTGCGGCACTGGTTTCAACTGCGATACAGCATTTGTACCTTGTGAAGAAGTCACCTTCGGCTTTGGGCCCATTAGATCTGGCTTTGGGCCCATTGGATCTGGCTTTTGAGGAAGTGGTCCCTTTTTTCTATTTGGCTTGGGGCTTGTAATTCTGGGCTTTTGACCAATTGGAGTTGGTTTCAAAATACTTGGGACAGTTCTGTTTGATGAAAACTGTTTAGAATGAGATGGAGTCTGTTGTGGTGGCATGGGGGGAGTGAACGCAGGCTTACTGTTTTTCCGGGGTGGGTAACCCACGACCCCCTGCGGCGATGTTGCTGATTGGCTTAACTGGTTCTTACTGGAGTTGCTGTCCCTTCTTGGACCATGCCGAGCAGATTTACCATCGACATGGCCTGTGACTTGCTGCTCCTGTGCAGACTTCTGCCATTTCTCAATAGACTGCTGTTTCATGAATGTTATACCCTCTGCACTTCCGTCACTAACATTACTAGAATTGCTTGGGCTATTTTTTGAATTTCTACTTTCCAATGGGGAATGTTTGTCTTCTGAATTGTCCATGATTTCCTGTGAATGTCTGTTATCTTTACTATCCATCACGCCATTGCTTGTGTTTGATTTTCGTTTCTCTTTATCTTTTCTCCAGAACATTCCAATACCTGATGATTTCTTCTTTGATTCAGGTGAATTAACTTTGCCATCTGTAAGAAAAACATATTTTATGAAAGGTATTACCTATTTAGTAGCACAGTAATGTATGTAAATATGAAGATGGGGTGAGAGGGTATGGATATGTGTTGTGGGAGTTAATAATCTGTAGATACATAACAGAGAATTATGTGGAAGGAGTGAGGTATGAGAAGAGATGTGTTTGAAGATGTGATTAAGGTTGTGGCAATTAATAATTATTATTTTGGGTACATGCATAACATGTGAGATATTTCTGTTTCAGGTTTTAAAAACTTACTAGGATTTTGCCCTGGAATACCATGATCCACAACACCACCCAAGCTCTTTTCAACCTCTAAAGGAAAACAAATGTAGAAACCAAAGTAAACAAACAATACATCTTTAACAGTATCATTAAATATCTCAAGTTTTAATGCAATGTAGTTTGGTGGTTACAAAGCTTGCCTTCTAAACTCATGGTCCTAGGCCCAATTCTTCTGGAACATAAGGATAATTTTTCACAACTAAAATTAACTCCTGTATAATATTCAAGTGTATTTGCTGTTGGATGTGAATTAAAAAATATACACAAAAAATGTCATTACTAACCTTCACTAATGCTAGAGTGTTGAAACATATTATTTATTTCTTCATAAACATCACGAAAGTTGGGCCTGTCAACTGGCATCCATTCCCAGCCTGGAATACAAAGAATAAATATATTATTATATGTATTATATAGATACAACCCGTTTTCTTTATAGCCGGAGTTGCAATTTTAGAATAAGCTCATCCACTATATGATTAGGAACTGATGATTGGTGTGGATCAACAGTCGGTGGAGTCAGTTTATATGAAACAGCTGAAGACGGTGTTTGATGGAGTTTCTAGAGATGCATGTCATCCACTCCATCAATATGTCGTCTTTCAGCGAAGTGGTAGGCTGAGGCTCCGATTGTCCACACCAATCGTTATTCCTGTTCATTTATTCCTGCTGGGATTAAACTTTTTAATGCACATTTTAAACGTTAATTTTATGAATATTTTTTTTATGTGATTGTACATTGTTTTTAAAAGTTTTATGCGAGCATTCAGTTTCCTTCGTTGAAGGATGAATAAAGTTTTACTTTGACTTTGACTTTTGAAATTTGTACATATACTGTAAGTTCATGCAAAATGGGCATGAGTTTGGATTTTTTTATTTTTTTTATTTTTTTGTAAAATGGGCTTAAATTTACAGAAATAAATGAAGCAAGTCTTTAAAGCCAGATATATTTGTGCGAGTAAATGTAAGCCTTTTTGTAAGGATCATATATGTCAACAGTAACAGCTGTAGCAATATAATACTACAGGAGAACCATCAACTACAGAGCTGCTGATGCAAAGCAGTAACAACAATATAACAGAGGAAGTTATATTCATTACATTTCTTCATAAGGTTGTACACATCTCCAGGGCAACCTTCTGGTCGTTCCATTCTGTATCCAGCTTCTAATTTCTCATACACATGCTGCAGTTCAACACCAGGATAAGGAGAGGCTCCATATGTGGCTATTTCCCAGAGTAGTATCCCAAAAGCTAAAAAAACAAACAACAGTTTTTATTTTAATCAAATATGGATTATCATAATAATATATTAATATTTACATAGCACTCTACACAAACAAGACTCAGATTGCCTCTCCACATTATTATCCTAATCATTATAGTGATTCCATAGTTTGCTATAAATAAAATAAATTCTGCACAAGACAATATGGATAAAGTGCCTTACATAAGGACACAAACAACTTCCACATGGAGAGCACTAAAGGAACTCGAACCCAGTATCATAGGTTACCAATATATTTCCACCATTTCAGCACAGACACAGTGGCTACCATTAGCTTAGCCAACTTGAGTTTTGCTGCTATTAATTATTATGAATGAATTCACTGCAAAGCCTTACTTCCCTCACTGTGCATACAAGGCAGTGTGATGCAGAGACTTTTGAATTAGGTCACATAAAACAAAGCATCCCCTTGTGCTTCATTTTAAGTTCTTTCAATAATTCAATAATGGTAGCATAAATCTTGAAGTGAACAAGCATTTTCATAATTGACACCATAAAGCCAACCCGTAGGAAGTCAATGTTGTCTGTCTTACTTTTAATGCTTACAGATTACGATGTAATGGGTTCGAATCTCAACTGGAATTCATTTTCAGAGAAATTCACTTTAGGTTAGGTTTTTTTTTTGTATTTGTAATTAGCAAATCTGGGTGGAACTATGGTTTTTTTTTTTTGTATTTGTAATAGCAAATCTGGGTGGAACTATGTTTTTTTTTTGTATTTGTAATAGCAAATCTGGGTGGAACTGTTTTTTTTTTTGTATTTGTAATAGCAAATCTGGGTAAAATTATAAACTGGAAATAAATTTGATTGCTGTTGTTTTTTTTTTGGTTTTTTTGGGTTTTTTTTCTTCCAGTTTTGGCAACTTTTTGTGTGTTTAGTTTAACCAAGAGTAATGCTCCATTGGGGAAGAGAGTCTCAAAGTAAACATTTTACTTAAAGACGTAATACTATTAATTATAACGTTATAGGTATAGTTTTCATAATTTGTTCGAGCTCGGTAGTGATAAACCAACACTTACAAATTTGGTAAACAGTCACAAGTCGTGCTATTACTGAAATTACTAAATGGTCTGGCTCGAATTCGACAACAGTAGAGGAAAATATATTCAGTAATGGACAGACACATAAAGAAGACCATAATGTGCTGCGTATTTTGTAAATTATATTTTTGCGGCAAGAACAAAGTACTTAGTAAATCAATAAGCGTTATTTACTGTCAATTCTGACCACGCACACTTTTCTTTTCGTTCGGATGGTAAGGTGAATTCGCAACTGTTTGAGCAGTCTTGGAAATTTAGTTACCTGAGAATTACCCGGAAGATGCAAAGATACTTTGTATGCTTTAACTGGCTCTCAGGGACACACACAAAAAGCAAATAGGTAGCAGTTGCTTATTTGTATTAACAACACTTAGAAAACTGTATGTGGCAATAATCAATACTCAATATCTGTTTACGTTGTGATATTTTCTCTGCCTTTGGTACAACCTACAGCTTCGTTTTTATGTTGGGCCATAAAGTTATTCTTTTTATTAATTTATTAATAAGTACACACAAGTCATGTTTAATAATATGTCAAGAAATTGTCATTTGAAAAATTATCATTTGAATTCACAGCTAATATTATTTAATAGGAATTTTTTGATAGTCGAAAATCAAAGATATATGGAGGAGGTGTTTCACAGAAGATTTTATTGCGCACAAACTGATATGTACCACATAATTACTTAAAAATATAATATTATGATATGTATCAAATGATACTGATGCAAAATGCAGCCAAGAAGAAACCTAAGACCCACTTATTCCCCAATGGTAATGGCACAGTACATATTGTTTATGAAAGTTGCTGTTATGCTCATCTACCAATCTAGGAATTGTTATTTAAATTTACATATATTCAATTTAATTTCTAATCTTATGTTAGTAATTATAAATTTTGCATGTTAATCATACCATTTTTATGTTAATGAGCACTAGGTTAAAAACACTAAATAAATCCATATTATTACTATACTTATCATAATTATTACTATACTTATCATAAAGTAATAAATAATTGATCAACCTCAAAAAACTATTTTTAATTATTGCATATCCAGTGCATTAAGATTGGCACTATGAAATTACCATATCACTGTTTACATTTTTTAATCTGTTTAACCATTAACCATGTGTAAGATCAGCAAACAACAATAAACTTCCAGTATTCATAATTAGATAAATCCTTAATAGAACTTATTCAAGTATAATAATATTTGAAGGCCAATTTCACTGATTTGCATATTCCTCAGAAACTTAGTGAATAACATAATAATCTTGATAGTAATATTGATAGCAGTATACTTTTGTTATCCATCATAAAAAAAATGGATATAAGCTTAAAAATGGCAGAATATAACATGAATAAATAGGTATCAACACAAAATAATTAAAAATATTTAACTAAATAAGCCTACTATATCAAATTACAGTACAAAATTACAATAAAATATACCTATGACTATTACAATTAATTTTATGGACCAATCATACACTTAAACTCACAAACTTTTATTAAGAGCCTCTACTATAAGGATCTACCATTCACCCACATTACGTATTATTAATTATATTTCCTAAACTAGCCTATGAATTCTATTAATTTCAATAAAACACGTCAATATATAAATATAAGGGGAATTTAATTTGTTAGTAGAAATTACAAAAACAGTACATTGTACTTGCTTATAACAATCGGTCATAATGCCACTATAAGGTGTGGGTTACACATAAAGATAAACTGAATACATAAATGCCAAAGCAGGTGTTTACACAAAAGGATACCTAAATGAAATACATTTAATTTTTAATTATAATCAGTTTTCAAGTTATTTCATTCCTGTTTATTGAACTTACCCCATATATCTGATTTATTGGAAAATTTGTTGTATGCTAAGCTCTCAGGTGCTGTCCACTTAATGGGAAACTTTGCCCCGGCTTGGGCTGTGTACACCTCCCCTTGGATGATGCGAGCTAGGCCAAAGTCAGCAACTTTCACAAGATGGTTCTCCCCCAAAAGACAGTTCCTTGCTGCTAGATCCCTGTGAAATGACAAATAAGAGGTGAAGATGGAAGAAAACAAAATAAACTCTACTATAAATAATGCAGAACGCATTTATAGCTATTGGTACAGTAAAAATAGCATTGTTTCCTATTCAAATTCTGTAATGTTGACTTTTAGGGACATGTGTGAAACATAACACTATAGAAGCGGTTGTCGCATCAGTTGTGGCTTGATTTGCAGCCTTGAGGTCAGGGGTTTGAAACTCTTGGTGTGCAAGTTGCTTGTGTCCTTGGGCAAGGCACTTTACTTTCTGTTGTCTTTCTCCACCCAGGCGTACAACTGGGTACCTGGTAGGCTAAAACAGAATCATGTGCTGATTACAGCTGCAATATCATGGAATTCTCCCAAGGGACCCGAGTATGTATTCCACATGCACTTGATCCAATGACCGGGGGTAATAGTGTTAAGCGCATAGGTCTCTACAATATGCGCTATATAAGTCGACAATTATTATCCCTTCGTACACAACAAAAGAAACTGTGGGAACTGTAACAACTACGGTGGAAAAAGCTTGCCAAAGTCAACCTCAAGAATTGATCATGTCTGGAGAAGCAGTATGGTTTAAAATCACCAAGATTTACTGTGGGTAAATCTTCAAACTACTGTAGGTTAAAGTTGCAATAAATGTGTAATGTTGCTCACAGATTTGTTTATTAATCATGAATGCATGACATGTTAACCATAAATAACCAAGTTATCCATCAAGTTAAACAGTTTAACCACAAATCCAAATTTATTGGCAAACAGTAAGTATTCCAAATAATAGGTATATTGAAAAATGTTATTATTTAAAACTCAACAACTGATAATTCCCTTATAAGAATGTATTTATTCATTACCTTCAGAATATGGTAGTATGTACATTTTTTTTATTGTAATATTAACTGTTATTAATTCAGATATTATTCCATGATGGCTGCAGGAGTAATAAGAAATTAAAATTTAAAACGCAATAATGAAGAAATTTTGATCCATAAAAAATCTATATATCTAACTGTGGCTGTATGGCTCAGTAGATTTTTCCTTCTGAAATTCCAGGTTCAAATCCAGAAAATGACTGGTATTATAAATGTGCACTCTTATGTTTTACCTGTGAATGAAATTGACTTCTTCTAGGTAGCTCATGGCTGATGCAACTTGCGTTGCCATGTGTAGTAATGCGATGGCAGGTAGCGTAGTTTGGTCGTTGTCCCGCAGATAATCCAAAAGATTGCCGTGCTGCATAAATTCTGTGACTATGTAAAATGGGGGCTCCCTTGTACATGCACCTGCAAGAAGAAAATAAGAGTAACAATATTATCCAAAATGTTTAACAAATTGTGTGTTTTGTAAATATATTTCTTTGAACTTAAATTAATAAAAATTTATGTAAAACACTAATTACTAGTTATTAGATATTAAAGTATAATTTTTGTATTTGTAATTCAGGGAGTTTGAATTGTACAGAATCTCTGTGGTAAAGATAAGCCTTGTCCAATAATAAAAAATTTGTATTATGGAAACTTTGTCACAAAATATGACTTACATTTCCCTGTTTTACAACAGAATAATGCTGTAGTTAAAATTGTCAGTACACAATGTGATATACTCATTTTGAATGCTTTTCGAATACATAATAACTGGAAATAAAACGAAATGTAGAATTAAATTAATCATAAATTACGTTAGCAGCAGAATCTGAGTTACAGTAGCCTGGATTTCAGGCTCTTATTATAGCCATTAGAAACTTCCCTCCAGCAAGCAAAATGAGCCTACATTTGTTTGCTGAATTTAGTACCAAGTCACTCATTGCCACTTTGGCCATGTGCTTATCTAATCCTACAAGCCTGGTTATCAATCGTTAAATGGCTCAAGACTGCAAAGAATAATTGCGTCTAAAAATGATGGAAGTTACTTGTCGAAGAATGTCATCTGGCTTTATACATATATACATAGGAATATATTTCTTCAAAGATAAGCCAATTAGCAAACAAAACTTACTACCTATGTTTTGGCTATTAGCTTTGGTAACCTTGATCATGTAATTTGCTTCATCAAGGCTACTGAAGCAAATAGCTGAAACTTAGGAAATTTTGTTTACTAATTAACTTATCATTAAAAAAATACATACCTACCACTGAGTATGTACAAAGTTACTTGACTAAAATTAAGTTATATGACACTGTATTTGTTCAATTTCTTTGGTGATTTATCATTTTAGATTATTCCTGGAAACTTATTTAATTTAAATGTAAATGTAATGTCATCATAATTCTGCTTCTTGCTAGCCAAGTCTTATACCACTCTTTGACAAGACCATTGCCAAACTTCTCTAGGCATGCATATTGTTTTTAGTCTGCACTACAGTTATTGTAATGAAGCCTAAGAGTAGACTGTCAATGTACAATTCTATCCTCCATGGATACAAACTTGTCTTTAGGGAAATTTACACACCAATTGGAGATCTGTTATAATAGCAGCCTAGTCTAGTAGAGCTATAGAGCATCAGATCCCCAGGGATGCTTCTGTAGTAATAATGCTTTAAAAGCTTCAGCCTTGACCACAAATCAGATCAAAGATAAACATAAATTTAAAAAAAAATGAATGCACTACAGGCAATAAGGCAATCAAGACGACTGCTAATGACACAATGGCTAGGGAACTGAAGCTCCTGGCGTTGTTCAACTGTATATGACTTCAGACACAGCCATTCCGCTAATGCAACAGTATCGTTAGTGTAGACACAGCAAGCTTGCTTAGTCAATAATTACCGAGACAGGAATGACAATAAAAAGTGAAATTTTAACATTCAATATTTTTGCAAGTGTGAATACATTTGGATGTAATTGAGCAGATTTATATTTAAAAAAAGGGTTAAAAGTTTTTAAAAATGGATAATTAGTAAACTAATGGTTGTGAATGTTTACATTTACAACCGGAAAAACTAATTACAAATATTTCTTTTATTTTGGCATGTAAGAAACTCTTACCAAGTAACTGTACTAAATTTGGATGTTTAATAGTTTTCATGACAGCTGCCTCTCGCATAAATTCCTCTACCTTCATCGTCTCCTCCTAAAAGAGAAATTATAATCAAAATGACATACCCTGGAATTATAATGGATCTGTCCGTTCATAGTAAATTCAATTAGAATCTATTTAATTAGTTTTACATAGTAGTTTAAAGGTTCTAACTATGCTGCAATGTAATAGATAATTACAATTTACTGACAGTAGCAGATATAATGAAATTTCCATTTTACTAAGTTTGTCTGCTCACACAGCCATACATTTAAAACAGAGCCATCAAAATAATCAATTTACTATGAATATCCTCATAAAGAAATTATCATAATCAGAATTATATTATGCCAAAGAAAGACAGTAATTAAATGTATGTGAAGACATCCTTACTTGAAAGATACTTAGAATAATGTTCCCATGTTTTTATTATAAATTTCTGTTTCAATGAAAAATCCACTCAGAACCCATTGATACCTTGTTTCATTTTTTTGTGAAGTGGATCAATTTATCAAAACATCACTTGGAGCTGACTTAAAAAAAACATGGTTGTAATTTGGATGTAGGTAAGGTCAAAGCTCACATGATGTAATACCTATCTTTTGGGCCAGATTCTTGAATGTAACATAAGCTGTGCGGGTGAAAAATGGGGTGTTGGTTTCCGAATTTAGTGTTTTACCTTCCCAAATGAAAGTAAAGTACTTTCTCAAGAACACAAGTAAAAATGCACATCAAAAGATTTGATACCTTCAATATCAATAAGACTTTATTTCCAATTCCAGCAAAAAATATTATAATATATGAATAATTCAAATATAACAATTATAGTAAATAAAAAGATAAAATCAAAAAGGAATTGGAAAAAGTCATACAAAACAAGTAACACACATGTAGCCATAATAAAAATAACAATAACGAGCAATAATAATAATAATACACACATATGCATACTTGAGGTTGAGAACCTGAATAAGTAGCATATCTAGGGGCACACAGGGGAACATGCCCTCTCTAAAAAAACTTTCCCCTGTCTAAAAAAAATTAAGCTCAAGTAGATAAAAATCACCTTATTTTGCAAGCTGCACCCACCCACTTAATCATTGAGTCCCGCTTCACCTTACTGCCCCCAGGACCCAAAACTCCTACATACGCCACTGGCCTAAATTTCAGCCTCTGCTCTAACTGATTCACTGAGGACTAGGACATATGATCTATGCTAATGAATAGTGCACACAGTAATATCATTACCTTTAATGTTTTCACAGCAACTGTTCTGGTATATTTCTTCCATACTGCTTCATAGACTTCACCGTATTGTCCACCACCTAGTTTATTCTTCATAATAATATCTGTCCTTTCTATTTCCCACTCGTCAGGTTGCGGGGACACGCCGTATATTGTTGGCTTGTCCTTCTTGGCCACAGCATACTTGAGTGTCGTTACTAGCCCATCGGCCACCTTGCAATGATGATGTATAAGCTGGGCCACACTCTTAAACCTACTCTCCGAAGTGACATATACCTATAAAAAGAAGATAATTTAGTAAAATAATCATAAAACATTTATCATCTGCCAATTTGAAAAAAGCCAAAAGAAAAAAAACTAAAATAATGCTTACCCTCCCATCAGAAGAATTACTTATTCGATAGTGGAATACCCTTCCATCAAAGCGTAGCGATATTGATAGCTGACCGGAACTACTTTCACTATCTCGGACCAGGAAGCTGCCGTCAATTCCACTGTTGAGGAGGTATTCTGCATTGTTGCGCGAGATTGCACCATGGTACCAAGCATGATTATGAAGACTATTAACCTGGGCTACGTAGCTGAATGGTACCCATCCTGTACAACCTGTGCTACTGCTTTTGACTTGGCACCATTCGTTTGAGTTGTATGATAAAATTTTTACTTTTTCCCCTGCAAACAAGAATATAGTATATACAATATAGACTATCAAATTTTATTTGACAAAACATGTGGACATACCTAAATATGACATCACACCATAACCATATATAGGCACATCATGACTACATATGGGTATACAACAGATTTTTGTCCAAGAAAATTTGATAATCTGGACATAGCTTTAGGTTAGGTTTTATTGGTTGCTTGACTAAATAACTGATTTATTGATTGAATCTTTAATTGATTACTCATATTTACTGATTGCAATTTTAATCAGTTTGATGTACAGTATCTGACAATTGAATTTATAGGCTCATTGGCCAAAGACTACCAACTATCACGCTCTTCCTTGAATGAAACAGAAGATCAAAAACAATTAGAGACAATACTTTTGTAATTTTGCTATTGTATCCATCAAGGGTGCTTCAGCTATCATCACCCATAACATCTCTACAATCACCCTCATCGTCATCAACATTATTATCTATTATCATCGGCATTGCAATCTTCTCCATGACCGCTACCACGGCTTTTGTCATTGTCATTGTTATCATCTTCAATTATTTATATTTTCATTTGAAAAAAATAATTCTCTAGCTGCTATTACCTTTTTTCACACCTAGCTGCCCATCACTACTTCCCATAAAATCATATAATATAACAAATACATCTGGGTCAAAATTAAAGATATCATCTGAGGAATTCCATTTTGAGATCTCGGAGTTCATAGGGGTATGTGGTAGGGGTCGGGAATGTATCTTGTCTATACCACTATCTGAAATGACACAAAGAATATTAACGTTACTTAAATATACAAAAACTAATGTGAATGAGCTGTGATAATTGAATTAATTTAGTAATATGTAGGCTGAATGAAATAAGAGGAATTTATGAGACCAACAATAATCAGGAAGTAAATAACTCTAACTCTAAATATTGAAAAGTGTCAATGCACTTACTTGTAGTAAATAACAATGATAGAGAATTGAATGCAAAATTTGAATAAAAGTATTGTTCTTCCTAACCATGCATGGTGTTACTACTGTAAAACCTCGAATTTAAGCCCAGTGGGCTTAATCTCAAGATAAAGCCCATCTCAAGTTGAAGCCCCCCTCTTTAGTTTGCAAAATTAGCCTCGAAAAGAATCCCATCTCAAAAAGAAGCCAGTACATACACTGTACATGAATTTCAGAAAACAAAATAAATTAAATACAAGCTTGTTTTATATATTAGTTTAGGTGATTTAATGCAAGCTAAATACATTCCATGATACAGATTCATGTTACAGTGGCCTTATTTATTGTTTATAGTACAAATTCACAAAATTTTAATACAGTATTCATTTTGGAAAGAAGCCCCCCCCCCCACTATTTACTTGGCAAAAGTAGTCTCGAAAAGAAGCCCATCTTGAAAAGAAGCCCATGCAAAGTTCGCACAGAAAAGAAGAGGCCCAGGGCTTCAATTTGAGGTTTTACGGTTCTATGGTTCCATCTGAAATAAATCTATGCAGAATGTTAAGTACAGTATATAAAGAAAGGTAACCAAAAATTATCATATACTAGACACCTCAAAGATACATTAACTACTATACCATTTTGAATGAACATATAGATGTCTATTGATAGACAAATTATTTTAACACATAAGCTCCTTCTAGCATATAAAATATTAAACAAAATAGTACAGCCATGACGGAATGAATACATTAATTCATTCACTGTAAGTAGTATGAGACAGATCAGTTATGAATGACATGGCTTTGCATATTTTCAATAGTGTAAATGCTGTTTTCCTACATTTACGTTTTTATTTTTATTTATTTTATTTATTTACTACCCAGCAAATAGATAATTTGCCTTTAATGTTTTCCAATTGATATAGCTTTGTATTTTAGTACATTTTCATTTTTTCTTAAATTTGTGAATTGTAAGTGAATTTATCTTTATTTTTTGCCAGATACCCTAAAAATTAGTCTAAAGTTGTTTTCTGATGTAAGATATTGCCATTCTAGGCCTCTGTGGGTTATTTTTATTCCATCTGATAAGTATCTTAAAACAAAACAAAAAATAAAATATTTATCATTTAAAAAAAAGGGCAAACAAACAATTTACTTTTCCAGGCCTAACAACGACGATAGTTATTGCAATGATGATAGTAAAATATAGTACTGATGATAATGTTAATGTTAATAGTGATGATGATGATGACAATGGTGATGATTGTGATGATGATAGTGATGACAGTTGTAGTGAATGGTTGTTATGTAGACGATGTTAATGATGATGACGGTGGTGGCGACACTAATATGTCAGTGATGATGATGGTTGTGATGATGTCTACAACAACGACGTCAAGATACCGGTATTGATGAATTAGGATGGTGATAATGATGATGTCACCATTTCTTTCTGCATATACCATAACCAACTTTATCATACAGCTTCACCTACACAAGTATGAATGAGATTATCTACAAAGAAAAATTTTTTACTCTCTCCAGGGATTGCAAATAAGAATACAAGATCAACGAGAAACGCTCCAAATTTAAAGAGAATGGAAAAGACAAATTCTCCACGGGCAATGCATTCTAAATCAAATTTCATCCCAATGATGGTTTAATATTACAGTATACAACGCATATATTATCGTGACTTAAAAATAAAAAACATTAGAATTTATTAAGCCTTTTAAATGAGTTATTCAAAGACATAATAGAAATATTGAGATAAGACAAGATAAAATAAGATAAATTTCATTGCTCAAAAAGAGGAAAATCAGTACTCACATTAAAATATACAGTTGACAGTAAAAATATTAAAACAATGGTCAAATGCAGTAAAAAATACAATAATTAAAAGATGGAAGAGATATATAACAACAGCCATTAAAACATTGCAGGTTATTTTTTATGATGGTAATGGTAAATTAGAAATTTATATATTTTAATAATGTTAAATTTACAGTACTTCCAATAATAATAATAATAATAATAGATTCATAAAATAATACATCCTTCAGTAGAGAATATTTCTCAAATATACCAAACATAAATCACAGTTTTATTACAGTAATTATTAAAAGAAAACAAAAGTCTCATAAAAATATGTAAAAATGATAGAAACAATGATTTTCACTTTCAATGTTCTAATATATAAGAAAATGGAAAATATAACTTCTGGATGTCAAGCAAGCACAAATAAATGTTTTCTAAACAACACATACAAACGTGCAAACCGTATGCGTACCTAACGTGTTTGACACGCCCTGCTTCATTTCCTGCAACACTTTCCTCAACAAACAACCACAAAAAGTCCTGCAGCTGTCAAAATGTCCACGGTACTATTTTGAAAGCGTTAAATTAATGCAGCAAGCATATGTTGATTCTAAATATTTGCCGCAATCCGTCAACTGTGCAACCGGCAACAGGGCTTACCTCGGAACAATTCTGTTACTAGTAAATTTATGTCACTAATTCTGATCCATATGAGGTTCAAATAGAGGGCATACTACTGTACAATGGCGATAGTTAAGTTACCTAGCTTCCTAATGCTAATTGTATACTACATGTATATTTATCTATCTTGAAATTCTCTTCACCAATGAGAAACAGCATTAATGATCAACTGTGATGCAATAATAACATGACAGCAATATTGATTGCTTGACCAATAGATAACTTTTGTAAATTTTAGAAAATATTAATATTCTATACTCTCTGCAATTATATTATTACCGGTACTTAATTAGTTATATTAAATGTCATCATTTGTAAATTAGACTAGATTTCAAAATAGGAACAAAACAGGTATACTGTAACTTAAAATATACTGCTGTATAAACTGGATACCAATATTTGTTCATTATGCTTTTTTTTGGACCCCAATATGCTTTTTTTTGGACCCCAATATGCTTTTTTTTTGGACCCCAAAAGGCTTTGACCACTTTACTGACTGGGGCTCCCTGTTGGAAAGCTTTCTCTCCTCCCTCCCCCAACTCCTTGAATTCTAGAGCCATCAAAGACTAATAACATAGAAAGTTAATAATGTGGTTTGTATAGATGCTTTTTGTAACTTTTCACAGGGAAAGCACTCTCATCACAAGTAGAAATTTTAGTTGCTCTACCTAGAATGCTGCTGTTGTAGTACTCCATTATTTTTAATGTTTACGAACACAGTACTGTACATCACAGGAAGAATGGTCAGACTATTGATAACACTAATTAAGCCAAAAATCTCTTACAAGGGATACAACAAAAATTTGCTTCTACTCTGCACAAAAAGAGTGGAAGCAATGAACACATAATCCTCAATAAAATAATCATGTCTAAACTCCTTCACTTCATGGAAAACCAATTAAATCTTGATCGCAGCGATGTTTCTTTTTGTCACATAGCATGGCTAATTAGTCTCTGCGTGTTCATCTTGGCTAATTTTAGCGTGAAAGCCAACTGACGAGCTAATAACTTAATCAAAGGAGACCTGTTTATACTGTATCCTTCTTAAGTTCAGTGATGTAAATGGTCTATTGGCCAAATCCCGAATATGGTATTTGATTACATCTAACCTGTGGGATCGTTAAATCTCGCAGGTCAATATCTAAATGAGGCATTCAACTTATGACGGTGTACCAGTACTTTTTATTATGTATAACTTCTAAATAAATCCTATTTTCAAAGTGCTGTAATTCTGAAAATGATATATATTTTAAAATCATATTTGATTTGTATTTTTACTGCTGGCTTTAAATTGATAACAACGTTGCAGATCCTACTAAAGTAATCAACAATACATCCACCGAAAAAACAAATCCTGATGGATGAGTTCATGGCCTATGAGCTAACAATCAATACTTGGGAGTCAAAATACACCTTAAGATCCCTGATTCAAACACCTGGATAAACTGTGGTTCAGTAATCATTACACATGGTTTCAGTATCTCAGTCATCAATACCACATCCACAGTGACATTATATTGAGCAAATATCCTGGTATGACTTTTGGTCGTACTACGCAATCAATGTTCAAAGTAGAAATTCACAGCTTATTTACTTGATCACCTAGTGAACTATAGTTTGCTAGATATGACAAGAATACACAGCATTTTAAGACTGGTTCTAGTTAAATTCATCTATATCACTGTGATGTCGTATCATGCCTTTCTATATAGTAGAAACTATATGCATCATACAAATGAGCTCTGTCCTTGTAACATTCATAAAATCTACACCAACTTTATTTCATATTTCTAAATTACATACCATGTTATAAGATCAACATGTGATAATATCGGAGAGACCAGTGGAACAATGCACACAAAAGATTTTATCTCTAGGTCCCCGGTTCAATTCTCACCGCTGCTCTCTTTGTGTTTCAGATGGAGGGCTGAAATGTAAAATCATTTATAGATACATTTACACCGTTTTTCTTTTATTCTTTTTCATATACAGTAGCACTTTTCTTTCTTCCAGATGACGGTAGTTTTTGCTGCTCTGTTACTATTTGGTTTAGGAATGCAGATGACAAAACCAGTGGATTGTTTCTATTGTTATAAATTTCATGGCAGTTAGTACGAATTTCCCCAATTGTTATTGCCACAATTGTGGCATGGCTTGCGGGCATAGTGTTTACTTACATTTCCTACTGTGGTTTATTTTGATGTTATTATTTACATTTTCACATATCAGAACCTCTGAACAAGATACCACATTTAATGGTTAAATAGGTTTGCAATATGTAATATCAGATTGTCATATATAGTTTCTTAGAATACTGGTTA